GGCTTCAACTCATCACGATCAACGAACTTGGTCTTCTCGCTCCGCCGCCACCTGGGATTCGGGTGATGGTCGCAAACAGCCCGGACATCGACTTTCCATTTGACGTCATTCCGGATTTCATGGTCCCCTGCGGTCCAATTACAAGACCTGCAGCGCCTATCTCGACCGAAGATCCGGAACTCGCAATTTGGCTCGATCGCGGCCCGACAGTTTACATGAACCTTGGAACACATCGTTCGTTCGATGTTGCCAAAGCAAGAGAGGTGGCCTACGCTTTCCGCAGTTTGTTCGATGCTGCAAAAACCTCCCATCTCAGTAATTTGCAACTCATTTGGAAGATGCCTAGGGTAGCATCAGAGGGAGACACTTCCGGCTTTGAGGGCCCTTGGAAAGAAATCAAGGATATCCTCGAGTCTGAGATCGATCAAGACCGCGTCAGAATTGTGGATTGGATTACTGCTGAGCCCAAATCTCTGCTTCAATCTGGCCACATTGTCTGCTCTGTCAACCACGGAGGATCCAACTCTTTCCATGAAGCGATATGGTATGTGACCATCCTCTCCTGATTTGGATCTCATCAGAGCTAACACGCATTCTTTTTATAGTTGTGGAATCCCTCAAGTTATCCTACCAGGATGGGCTGATTGTTACGACTTTGCTCTGCGCGCTGAATACCTGGGCATCGGCAAGTGGGCGAGCCGTACCGCACGACCGTTATGGAAGCGAGAGGAGCTTGCCAAGGGCCTTGAAGAGGTTCTCTTAGGTCCTCAGGCAATGGACATGATCAGAAGAGCCCAAGAACTTGCGAAGCGACACCCGGAAGGTGCAGGCCGTGATCGTGCTGCAGAAGAAGTTCTTAAACTATTAGATGGCAACAACACGAACGGGGTGAATGGAAAGCACTAAATCTTGTTCTAATGGCAGGGTGATAGATATAGTTGTAGGTTTAGCGCGCAACGCAGGTCTTTAAGGTCGCTGTTTCCATCAGCGTCAGTCGCTGTTATATCATCATGTTCATCATCGTCATCAACATCTTCTCCACCATTATGACCAGTGAGGTCTTCACATAAGCCATGTGAGATTTCGAGGTCTGTTGTTATGGCCTGCTGGAAAGTTAGGTGTTCTAGCAGATATTATCCCACTTGCTCTCGCCTTGTTCTCATCCGCAGCACAAGGCGGTTGTGCGGACCGGATACGTTCTGTCATAGATTGAGAAGATTGGTGACAGTCTTCCTTGACTATGGTTGCCAACCTCGTTCCCTTTCCGAGGCAATGAGCAGTCAGGAGAAAGCTCTTAGGAACGCGAAGTTTCCCAGTCAGACATGGAGTGGGGCAATAAATGGGTTCGCCAATGGTTGTCCATGCCGAATACCAGAGTATATATGTAGAGTGTGTGCGATTTCTGATCTTTATACAGCCTGGCCTGTAATTGTCTAATTTAGCACCTATCAAGGAGTCTTGTCAAGGCCTAAGTGAAGCATGAGGATGAAGCCAGATGAAATCAGGCTTTACAGCAACGGCACTATTACAGATGTCATCAGTGATGTTCTTAGCGCGGTAGATAGTACTTACAGCAACGTAGCCACGCTCTTCATTGGTGACCTTGACGCATTCACCCTGGACTCTCTCTGTGTTTCCGCAAACCTGCGATGGGCCCATGCTATTGCAAATGGCCAGAGGGTACTAAAAAAAAGTACGTTTGCTTGCACTGAAACTTTTATTTCCACAAGTTTTCTCTCAATTTCCACTTACGCAGTCAGCGGACCGATCCATGCACTGACTGGCAGCGAAGGGCACGAGCAAGGCGGCCATAAAAGCGATGGTGCTGGATTGACGCATAGTGAGGTTGTATATGTTGTGGTGACGTAGAGAAAAGCTGGTGAGTGAGGCTTTCTGATGGAGTCTTGAAGCTGAAGGTGAGGCTAGTTTAGTGATGTTGACGGATATAGTCTGAGCACGAAATGACCGACGGACCTAACCACTTTTATATAACTTGGGGATCCCGGACTTTGCAATCCACAGACTGGATGGCTGAAGTACTCTTGCCGTATTCATCCTGCTAAGCACCGTCTCACAGAGTAGCAGTGTGGGTTATGGAGTTTCCGTAATCTCATGCCTAGGGAAGCCGGTGGAGGGTTTCCTTAATGGTGAGCAATCACTGTTTCCGCCCCTCCTAGTTAACAGCATTGCATGGTAATTGACTCGACGGGGCGGTGTATCTGTAAAGGCGGTCGACTAATTAGCAAAGAAAAAGCTGAGGGAGCTTAATGGAGCCTTCGTTGTATGGAAAGCTCCGTGAGGACCGCAATAACCTTCCAGGCCGGTTTTGCTCTCGGTCTTGGTTCGTAGTTGAAGCGCCAAGGAATCCCGTGAGGTCGCAAAAATGAGAGTGCTAGCCCCAACACAAACACCGCCACTGTGGCCGAGCCGTGTCATCGTCCGGCCCGGCTGATCCAATACGGAGAGAGAATAATCACGCACTCGCCGTATCCATCTTGTGTGAAACGAGAGCCTTAGTCTATCTAAGCTGTTCTTTAAGATACAGATGTTATTTCAGGAGTTAATAGATAAGGTAAGCAACGGCCTAGATAGGGCACGAGTGAATCATCCGATATCTAATTGGTGGCACTGGCCGAAAGCGATAAGCCCCCCGCACCCTATGCATCGGCATACCCAACCGCTAGGTCCCCTCACATCGGTGACGTCGGCCCCGTCTGAACACCCTAGCATAATCGATGAGTGCTATCATCCCCGTAGGGGAAACAGCTCATAACAAAACGAATCCAAATTCTGAGAGTTGAAGCACGGATGACTGCCGGGAGCCTCAGCGAGACAGAACGATCATCATGTTTGCTTCAGACTCTGCGAAACTTTCCTTCGTATTGGACCTCCAGAGGCCTCCAACTCTGGCGTCCATCCTAACAACAATCGCAATCCTGCTACTACCTTATTTCATTTACAATGTTCGTTCCTCTGCATCCTTCTGTCTGAGTTTCCGTCGCCTGTTGAGGGGACCACTAACCATGACAGGCTGCCTTTGGTACGGATATACCCTTCATCAAGGGCCTCCCGGAGATGTCCGGCTCGATTCCGGTGTTCGGGCACCTTCTCAAGCTAGGCGAAGACCACGCGTCAACATGCGAAAATTGGTGGCGGCAAGGAAACCCCTCCGTATTTCAGATCAAACTCGGCAACACCAGGGCCGTAGTCTTCAACTCCTTCGAGGACATCCGCCAACTCCTCATCGGCCACCAGAACGCCGTTATTGATCGGCCAAAGTTATACACCTTTCACGGCCTGATCAGCTCTACCCAAGGCTTTACCATTGGCTCTTCCCCTTGGGATGACTCCTGCCGGAAGAAGCGCAAAGCCGCGGGCACTGCCCTCAGTCGGCCGGCCCTGCGCAGTTACTACCCCATGTTCGACCTCGAGAGCTACTGCATCCTCCGCGACCTGCACAAGGACTCCCGCAACGGCGAGCTCGAGATAAGTGTTCGACCCTACATCCAGCGCTACGCCCTCAACACGACCCTCACTCTCTGCTACGGCATCCGCATGGACGCCGTCTACGATGACCTCCTTCGCGAGATCTTGCATGTCGGCTCGGCCATCTCTCTGCTCCGCAGCGCGTCCGAGAACACGCAAGACTATGTTCCGATCATGCGCTACTTCCCCAACAACGAGAAAAGCCGCCGCTCCAAAGAGCTCCGCGAGCGTCGCGATGCGTATCTCAACCATCTCCTTAACAAGGTCCGCTCCATGATCGAGCGCGGCACCGACAAGCCTTGCATCTCGGCTGCAATCCTCAAGAACGAGGAGACGAAGCTAACGGGCGTTGAGGTGTCCTCCATCTGCTTGTCGCTTGTGTCTGGTGGTTTTGAGACCATCCCCGGGACTCTGACGTCGACCATCGGATCGCTTTCGACGAAAGAGGGACAATTGTGGCAAGACCGCGCCTATGAGGATATCAAGAGGCATTACCCAAACATACAAGACGCATGGAATGCATGCTATACCGAGGAGAAGGTTCCGTACATCAACGCCATCATCAGGGAAGCCGGAAGGTATTACACTGTCAGCTCGATGAGTCTGCCGCGGAAGACTGTCACGGAGGTCAACTGGAACGGCGCCGTCATCCCGCCCAAGACGATGATACTTGTCAACGCTCAAGCTGGCAACCATGGTTCGTTTGCTCCTTATCTGAATACCGAGTACCATCGTATTGTTCGTTGAATCTAACGATGAAGAAACACAGACAGAAATTACTTCGGTGAAGATGCCGGCAAATTCGATCCGGAGAGGTGGCTTTCCTCGATCGACCCGCCCACTGAGAAAGATGTTTCCGGCGTCGGCCATCTAAGCTTTGGGCTTGGCTCTCGTGGTTGCTCAGGTCAGTATATCGCCCAGCGCCTGTTATATGCCGCTTTGGTCCGCCTGCTGTCCTCGTACAAGATCATAGCGAGCGAGGAAGAGCCTCCCAACACCGACTACGTCGAGTACAACCTGTTCAAAGCGGCGCTCGTGGCGATCCCCAAGGACTTTAAGGTCAAGCTAATCCCCCGAGACACAGCCGTCACCGAGGAATGTCTCAACGCCGCTGAGAAAAGGACCAAGGAGCATTACGTAGAATGAAGTTATCTTGCTGGTTTGTGCCCGTAGTAATACTCAAATGTTGCAACATGAGAAACTGTTTTGGATGACACTATATCAGGAGAGCGGTCGTGAAGGATTATGTTCAGGCAGTCAGCATGGGAAGGGGGCAAAAAGGATCTAAAGCACCAGCCGCATCTCCGAAATGGCATCAGCATCCAGAATAAGACAATGAAATACCCTTCAAGATATTTAATATTTGACTTAATGCCCAGCACGATATGATATCCTTAGTTCCTCTCCTTCGCATAAGCTCCACCTGGGTACCTCACCGGCCCCTGAACCTCTCCGGGAACCACCTCTTCGAGCTCTAGCTCTAGCTCGCTCTCATCTGCATCCATCCTTGTGGACTAAAAAGAGAAGACAAAATCTTTCTTGTCCTCCGCACTCACAACACTCGCTACTTCCGTAGCGTACACTTCCTCCGCAACCTCTTCATCTCTCGCATTTATTGCGTTTTCTTTGCTCTCAGCTGACTCTGTATCCTGAGCCTTCCGCTGTACCGCACCCAAACCTCTTCTGGGTGCCATGCCCCCGCGGACTGTGCCGTTTTGACCGAATAACTTGGACCAGCGGTATTTGAAGAAGATCCGAATCGCAGGAAGACATACGACAATGACCGATACTGATGCTTCGATGCCTGACCAAATCAGGGGATCCGTAAAGTCCCAGGTCGGGTTAAGTGAATGCGTGAATGGGGCAAGGTAGTGAAGCCGGATACAGGCAGTGATGAGAATGAATAACCCGAGACTGAACATAAGCGAAATGCCGACTTTTGAGCGTTTGGAGGTATTCAATCCCCACAGCAGCGGAAGAGGCAAGACGAGAATAATAAGATCGTGGCTGATGCCAAGGCCCCCTGCAATATTGACCAGTCTGTGGAGATCCAGGCAGTGATATGTGCCGAAGTCTCTTTTCCAACCATCCCAGTTGAAACAAATCGGCGTGCATTGGAAAATTTGTAAAAATAGGATCACCGTCATTGATAGAACGATGTATGTGATAGTCGCGTAAGTTGCCCTTCGAAAGGACTTGTTTGGGAATATCCTGAGGTAAAAGATGAGTACTGATATCTTAGTCAAAGTTATCGTGGCTAGGTAAAGGGGTTCGTCGATGAAGAAGAGCTGTAAATGTCAACATGATGTCCAGTTTGAGGCGGTAGGTCTCCATACCTTCAACCCGAGCGTGAGCTTATCTGGTTCAACCATCCATATGTCTTCTCCAAAAGCTAACGCTCCAGCTGGGTTATTGTCAGTAAGGACCTGGAATGGTGAGACCATAGGACATACCAATTTGACCAATGACGACTAAGACGATGAATATGGCCTAGGATTAATCAGCGGATGAGTTGCTGGAAAGTGTCTCAAGATCGGACGTACACCGCAGACGATCATGATCCAGTCGCCGGCTTCGAGTCGAGGCATCATCGTACATCTCGCGTATAATCGCAACAGGACTGTCACGGGCTAGAGCTTGGATTGATATCTCCGGCTTTGCCGGAGCAGTTACTGAGATCCGGCTCCGTTGGACCCACTACTCTGCTGCAGTACACCGCCTAACCCGGTCTGCTTCACCGCTGTTAGGTGCCTACTCTTGTAAAGTCCTTTCTTCCTTCTTCAGCTTAGAATAGTCAATCGACGGCACCTCTACGTTGAACAAGCCTAGGGGCCAGCCCCTTACAAGGACCGCCAGGATCCCAGCAATTTGAAGAATTAGTGGCGCCATAATATCTGCTTTTCGGGTACGAATAGGCCGTCCGCATGCCTTTGCTTCTATCTTTGCAACGTCTGAGAGGTTGTCAGTTGTAGCTGTGACGAATGGGGTGGGTGACCAACCTATAGCATCTACTGTGTCACAACGCTGGAGAAGACACGTCTGCATACTCTTTCGCAGACTATCATCACTACATATGCAGGTGTCATTTGTCGCGACGTTACAAGCCGACAGCGGTAGCTTTTCCAGGATACACTCTAGCTGTGTGCAGATAACAATATTAGCACCATTTCATGAAGCTGAGCCATGGCAAAACCCACCCCGCATTGTGGCAAAACACCTGCATACTCTATTAGGGATCCTTGGGCAGCCCCCCAGGAAGTGGCCATAAGGCTGAGCCATAGCAAGTGTCTCATTGCAAGCGATACTGCCGCTGCTGCTATCGCTGATAATGATGGTAGTAATGCGGGAGAGAGTCAAAGAGAAGAAACAAGAAAAAGGGACGAAGTCGCTGGCCGTGGCCTGAATAAATCACCTTCGAACGGCCAGTAATAATAAGAGAGGCATGCGAAGATTATGATAGCGGCAGGACTTAAGTTGGTTACTGACGTTGTTGATCTTAATGCGCGAGCACCTCGTTCCGTTTTGATTCCCACCACGCGGGACACCCTAATTATCCCCTACACTAAAACAACCTGGCTGAGGGGTCGATTGTCGAGTCAGAAACAAGAAGCCGGAAAAAAAGCTAACACAGAATAAGACCGAGAGTCTCTCTCTGACATGCACTTTCGAGCGACTCAGGTGCGAGCACGGTTGTTGTAGTGAAGAAAACCTATTCAGAAGACAAAGACCGGCCTGGACCAGCGGACGCTATCGTGAGCTAAACGCGGGGTTGATGTGTGGAGCATCGCGTGGGTTCGGAGGCGTCCGACCCGGGTGGCTTAATTACACAACAGTCTGGTGGACAAGACCTGGTGGGATTCATACAGAGACGGCTTTCAGTGTCCAGTTCTTTGCGAACAAGAGCAATACTGCGTGATAGGAAGCGCTACTCTGTACTTTTCTTACCATGAGAACATGACTCATCATAAGCAATGAGACTCATCATAAGCAATGAATATCATCAGGAAACAATGTCTTCCCTTGATCGATCCTCTTCGCGCCGATCGTGATGATGTTTAACACTGCGAATTATCAGCGGCCAAATCGACGGAACTATGATCCGGGCATACCGCCATGCACAGAAGCCGGATTGGGATTTATGGAATTCGGCAGTTGGAGGCGATCGAAGTCGGCAGTTGTCGCCTCACAGTACGGCTTTTGCGGTGCTCATTAGTCAAGCGCCATCTTTCATTCTCCCGGCGCTCTAACGCAAGCGTGGTAACGCCTCACCGACTCAAGCTGCTAAGACGCACGTGTGGCACCACGCCACTTTGCTACTTGGCCGCGAATGCATCCACTGTCACCGGCAAGTGCCTACTCAACCAAGGCAACGTGCTTCGAACAAAGGCTTTGCCTCTTCAATTTGCGCCATCCCAAACGGCGTGGTCAAGTCGATGCATCTTGTAGCGCACATCGGAGCTTACAAGTCTTGAGAGATACCGCGATCTGTAAGTGCGTTGGCATAAAGACATTCAGATGAATTGGGCTGCAAGTGAACTTCATCTTGCTCCTATACTCCTTCAAAGACGACAGAGCTCAAGGATTTGAGCCAGAAATACTGTAAATAGTTTCGACGCTCATAAGAGCGATGGCTTATACCAGTAGCTAGACAAACGCTGCATTCCAAATCGCTCTATCCTATCACTTATGTCAATATTTTGGGGATCTCTGTCCGTATCTGCGCAGGCCTCCACACCTGTCTTCTATTCGACTTAAGATTTCGTCTATGATTCTGGGATTCATGTGGCCTTTTAACGATCGCGATATCGATTCATTATTGTGCCTCGCGTCGTTGAGTGATGTGGAGGCATACTGGATGCGAGGTTCCTGGCCATAAGAGAAAGACATCCCCGTCTGACTCTCCTGAAATAGTGACTTCTCCAGGTTTTGATCGCCAACAGCCAAAGTAAGTCAGGTGCAAGTTTCTTTCATGAAGTAGACTACCATACTCTATACCTAACTCTGTATTCTTCTCCGAGGATAGTAGTAAAATTTCTTTAAGATTATTCGAAGAGTAGCATCATATACCACACGACGGTAAGAAAGTTGATGCGTTCAACGGCAACATCGCGCTAGACAAGTCTTACTACGTTTCTAGGCTACAGACCAGGCCAGAATCAATTGGCAGCTGTATTCACGAAGGAAGCACTGGAGGTAGTAATATATAGCAGTGGGACAGCAATAGCCTGCGGGAGGGGAGACAGCCATCACCACTATATGAATGGACTCATTTTCCTTTCCAAAGACCCGATGGTGCAATGTTCATGGCGGGTGGACGCCGCTCAGCGAGCTGAGAACAGCGTTTGTCGGTCAGGGGTGATGAGATACAGGATCGGATCAAGCTTAAAGATCTAAGGTAATACCACAACCCGTATCAAACAAGGCTGACTGAAGCGAATTCCTTCGATCGAAAGTCCCAATTCCTTCCGCCGTCAAACGTGCCGAGGAGCCGAAAGCACCGAGAGCGCATACTCTCCGAACTCCCCGACCGTGCTTCACAAGTGACGTAATCCGGATCCGAGGTCAGCACAACGGGACTTTGGTTCTCCATGTTCTATGATAAATAATCCCGCCAAGAACGAGTGAGCCGCAGTGAGCTTCAAACCGGCCGATAAAGATCGTCTGTCACTTACACACAGAGCCGCTAGACTCCCCAGAACCGCAAACACCGCAATAATGTACTACAACCCAGGCGTAAACGACCACGGTCTCCCCCACGACCCCTTCAAAGTAAAACCTCACACCCTCCCAATCTCCATCTCACTCACTAACCTCCCACTCCAGGCCTGCGTCGTCCCCCGCGCAATCGGCTGGATCTCAACCACCTCGCCCACCGGCCAGCACAACCTCGCGCCCTACTCCCAATTCACCAATGTCACCTTCGACCCGCCCATGGTGATGTTCTCCGCGAACCAGACCCTGCCCGACGACGCCACGCAGACCCGCAAGGACACCGTCAACAACATCGAGGCCACGGGCGTCTTCTGCTGGCAGCTGTGCACCTACGCGCTGCGCGAGGCCGTCAACGTCACCGCGGAGGCCGTGGCGCCCGATGAGGACGAGTTCGCGCGCGCCGGGCTCGCCAAGACCTTCTCGCGCGGGCTGCGCGTGCCGGTGCCGATGGTGAAGGAGTCGCCGGTGCGGTTCGAGTGCGAGTACGTGCAGACGGTGCGGTTGCCGGGCAAGGGCCCGATGGGGACGGTGGATGTGGTGTTTGGAAGGGTGGTGGGGGTGCATGTGGACGAGTGGGCGTTGACGGATGGCAAGATTGATGTGAGGAAGACTAACCCAATTGCACGGCTGGGGTATTTTGAGTATGGGGTTATTAATGATGCTTTTGAGATGGTTGTGCCGGGGGATAAGAGGATGCTGATTGGGGTGAGTTTGGTATGTCGTGATTGTGAGGGGATAATGCTGACTTTTGAGATTGTAGCTCTCGGGGAACGCGTCGAAGAATACGGATGAGGATTTGGCAGAGGCCAAGAACTCATGAGAGATATGAGGGTTTGTTGATCTATAAGTTGCTGGGTTTTACTGCAGGTTTGAGGCTGCCTGCACAGAAAGCTGGGATTGGGCAAAAATCTATAGATGTCTTATTCTATGGGAAAATTAGATCATATGCATTCTCAATATCGGCATTTTCCTCGACAAGATGCGCCAACGGCATAAAAAGCTTCATCCCACCCCCCTCCTTCGCCTTTGCGTTGATTTCTCTAACCTCATCCCACGACATCCAGTACCACCCTGAGCACTTTTCAGGTTCCAGATTCTGCCTATCGTTAGCAAAAACACAGAGAAACAACCTAACATAAGATGGGAAAGGGTGGACTCACAACCGGCTCAGCCGCTTCATCCTCCATCTCACACCTCACAAACAGCGTCACGTAGTGCTTTCCCAACTCCTCAAATACATCATTCGTCACGCCCACAATTTTGCTCGCCTTGACCTTCAGCTGCGTCTCCTCCAGCGTCTCGCGCTCCGCGCAGCCAAAGATGGACTCTTTGAATTCGAGGTGGCCGCCGGGGAGCTGCCATGTACCTGCGCAGCACCGTCAGCGTCTCGTGATCGTAAGCAGAATGAGAGTACAAGCAAAAGAAATTGAGCGCCAGCAGAGCAAGAAGTAAATCCTCAGAGCATCTTCGAGAACTGGGATTTGTGAAGGGATTGGTGTTACCTGCGCCGTGGCTACTCTCCCGCTTGCCGACCACAATCTTGCCATCCATGCGCTGGACAATCGCCGCAACACCGATGCGCGGGTTCGCAAAGGGGTTGATTGTAGAGACAGACATCTTTTCACCGGAGACCACCTTGTTAGATAAAAAGCATGAGACGGAGGCACGTTGAGTGATCAGTGCCAAGAGAGAAGAGGATGAGTTGAGGTTTAAAAGAACTAACTGAGTCACATCCGTAGGACAGTGAGATTGGGCCAGTGAGAGACCGAGTGTGCCTCACTGCAACCAGCCCCCCTGCACCACCGCACCGCCACGGCAGGCTCACTATGGCTGCCTGCTATTTCGCGAGAAACGCCTGCGAGCCTCGTTCCACCTCACTCAAGTTCCAAACCCTCTTACTCATTCTTATTCTACATCTAAAACTATATAAACTCGCACACACCCACAATCCCCGAAACCTCATACACGTTCGAACATCCACTTTGCATTTCTACTAACCCATCTTGCAGACCAGTCCCGCTGTAGAGTGGGTTCCCGTCGCCCTCCCGTCGCCCACCCTCAAAGCCATCTCCCCCTGCTTCCTCCACAACAAGAAATGGTTTCGTGGTGTAGTTGGTTATCACGTCAGTCTAACAGGTCGAGCGCATTCTCCGAATGCCCCCGCCTGGCACACTGAAGGTCTCCGGTTCAAGTCCGGGCGAAATCAGAACATTGGGCGATTGGTTTAGTGGTATAATACTCGCTTAGCATGTGAGTGGTCCAGGGTTCGATTCCCTGATCGTCCAGTTCTTTTTGCTTTTTGCTTAGGGATCGTAATGTCTTTTCGTTTGTAGGGGATAGGTAGTAGAGGAGAGAGGGCCATGAGTGGATGCGTAGTTTGGGGGGAGTAGCATCAGTTGAAGCTATGGCGACATATGATTAGGCGTTGTAGGTGGCATCGACATGGTAAAAATACATCTCGTCATTCATTCATTACCTCTGCTTGCAGTGGGTATCATTACATATCCTTTCCAAGGGCCGTCGCATGAGAGGAGACATGTCCAAAGTACTCACACCCCTCTACCAGGCCCCCTTGGCCGGCATATTCTCCGGGTCCATCTCGAACCCCTTGATACTCTCCTGCCAGTTCTGCCAGTTGAAGTCGTCCAGGTTATCCATGTTGACATCCATCGTTTCCATTGGCACGTCGTCGAAGCGGTTGTTGATGGACGTGAACGGGTCGGACCACAGCCACGGCGGCTGGTTGTCGCTAAGGGACGACGCGATCTGCGGCTGGGACGTGGCGGCGATAGCCTGCTGCCTCTGCCTCCGCTCGGCGTCGGTCATTTGGGTGTTGTTGGAAATCGCCGGCGTGGGGACTGCCGTCGTCACCATGGGTGGCTGCGATGCCGGCGGCTGGATCGCGCTGGGTGGGAAAAGTGTGTTGTTCGGGTCTGCGGCCATGGACTGCGCCGTGGGGTAGATATACTCCCACATCTCGCTGGACGTGAAGCCTGCTCGGGACATCATGACCGTATCAAGCTCCGAGTCTTCGTCGGGCATAACCACCTCGCCGGGGAACATGTTGACGGGCGGCTCCTCGGTAGGTTTGGGTTGAGGGTATGGGTCCACCGCGGACCTCTCATTACTCGGATTCCTCCGTTCGGCAGGTGGCGGTTGTGTCATGGGCAAATCTACCCGAACCCCACAGAGCTTCCTCCATCGTGTGCGAATCGCCTGTTGTTGGCTCTCCATGCCGGGCACCGGGCCCAGTCTGGCCGGGATCGTATCCATGCGGTCGTCGACGTCGAGTTGGCGGGCGGCCTCAGGGTTCGCTCGCAGCCGAGCAATCTCTGCCTCACGATGCTTCGTGGCCTTCGCGCTGAGTTTTCGCAGTGGCATCCACACAGCCATGTGGTCTGCCATCTTTGCTATTTCACCGGGGTCCTGGTCAAATCGAATGGTTTTGTTGACTGCCTCCCAGCCCCGCTCAGAGGTGGCAGACCACGGGCGTCGACCTGCCTCCATGAGGATGTACGCAATGGCATGCCATTGTCTGTACGTCTGGAAAAGCCACCGCCATTGTCGGCAGCGAGGGTCAGTGTTTAGGATATAATTATACTCGACAATTTCGATTGCTGACACGAAAAGTCTGTCGCGAATTTCGCCCGATAGTTCGGTCCCGTTGCCGGGAAATAGCATGGGTTGGTAGATGACCAGGCTCATCTTGGCCATGATCACGCGGGCGATCATGGCCGCCATCCAGAACAGCGGGTCGTCATCCGTGAAACAATGTTGCAGGAATTTCTCTTCGACGCGGTTGTAAACTTCGATTAGCTTGCTCTCGCGCTGTTCGAGAGTAGAGGACGCATCGCGCGGGCAGACACCCGCCATAGCCGAACCAACAGTATGCAGCCTTCTCGACAAGGCGCAAATTTCGTAACGAACTAATGAAACCGCACAATCCGTCCTGCCTTGGCGAGGGGTTGGCGGGTCAATCATTCCTGGATCGATATCCGAATCATTAAGGTTGGACGGCAGCTCCGTGTCGAAGGAGCGGTCGATAATGGTAAGATCGCTACCCAGTTCCTCGGCGGAACGCAGGTCGAGGGTACAGATGGCCCACCAAAGGCGGCGCCTCATTTCTGTTTCAAAAGGCGGGAGGTTGAAGTTTGTTCCGTCGCGGTGGATGCCCATTCCTTGCGCCATGCGGATTGCAAGCCCGGTGAGCGTCCAGCAGAATCTGGTGTCGTCTTGGCGGCGTACAAGGGTAAGGAACAGGACGAAGGCTTGCAGCACTACGATATCCGAGGTATTGAGGAAATTGGCCTTTGCGAGGGCCTGTTCGAGCGCGAAACGGTATTGCGACAGCATCTCGTCCTTCTTGGAACCGAAGTTCTTCTCGACCTAGCTTGGTGGTTAGCTGGAGCCAGTGTGCTAGATAGAGAGGCACAAACCTCTTCGTCTTCCATGGACGTAATGGCGGCGTAGTAGATGGAAAACAATAAAGCCTCGTGGCCGGCCGTAAGTTCGTCCATGTTGCGTCGCATGTCTCGAATGAGCTTCTCCATTGTCGGGATATGCAGAATCTTGAGCAATGGCTCCACGTTCTCCTGGTACACCTGCCACATGAAGGGTATTTGCGACGGCAGTGGATGCAGCTTGCGCAAGTCAACGTCCGACGATCGGTATCCCAGTATAAATGCGTGATGATCGGTCGATGCGTCGACGGCGTGCAGGGGCGAGTGATCGGGCGTATCTTCCTGGTCAGACTCGTCGCTGAACTCTTCATCGAGGATGCGCGCCCGTTCTCGAAGCTCGTCGAGCTGTAACACACCCGTCAGCTAACGAAACACAACGGCTCTCGACCGACTCACCTCATCGTTCAGCTTGGACCAAAACGCACTGCTCACGTATCGGCTTGTCTTTCCCTTGTCGTGCAATACCAAACGGCCAAATGACTTGCTGACGCTCGCGGCCTTGGGCTCCATGCCCCTCGTCTTTTCCTCGATTGCGTCCAACTTCTTCTGCATAGCGGCCCCGTCCACAATTCCTTCCTTTATCGCATTGAGTTGCGCAGCAGTAAACGTCCTGTTCCCGCGCTCTGAAGGCGCTTCGTGACCTGTGGTCTCCGGGGAGTTACCAGTGCTCGAGTTCTGGCGCCCGCCGCTGCTTCCGGGGCCGCTTTCCACCTCGATCTGGCCGCTCAGCTCCTCGACGATGCCCTCCAGCTTGCGCAACCGCTTCATCAGCTCCACCTCGCGCTCGGTCGAGTTCTTTGGCGGGGCGTTGGGGTCCTTTGGGCGTGGTCGGCGGGGGGCGCGGCCGGGGGCGGGGAAGATGCATTGGATGACGGCGCGGCGGCAGTTGCTACACGGCATCTGCTTGTCGCAGCGGACCTTTCGCCTTCGGCAGGTGACGCAGCTGCGCGGATTGAGGGCAGGCTGGCCCGACGCCGTCATGGCAACAGGTTGGTCGGGGGGTATAGACGTTGCGCCATGGCGGCTGAGGGCGGGGAAGTCTGGCGCTGTAGAGGTGGTCGGAGAGGCTGGCGAGTGCTGGGGGTTGTTGTTGACTGTGGTCGCGGGAGTCGTGGGATTCGACTGCTGGCTTGCTGGCGAGAAGTGCTCCATCTCCATGGCTGGCTTCGTGGGCCGGTCTGTGCGGCGAGGGTTGTCGAGGGGCGGCGGCTAGGAGAGGGATCACGAAGGTTTGGATCTGAGGGAATCGACTCGAGGTGTGACACAAGTTCGGGACGCTTTGGGGCTGACAAATGGTGGGATTCGATCATGCGACGGCGGCTCTTTGCGCTCTTGGCTGCTGGCTTACCCTCGGCGAGACATGAGGCGTCGTTGCGCGGCTAAATGGGTTCTGCTGGCATTATCCGGACCCGCGAGGACGTCAAGGAAAAACAAAACCCAAGGAAAAGAGTACGTTGGTGTTGAATGAGGTGCAGTTTGTGGTGGTGACGAGTGTTGGGGCTGCTGCATTGGCAGAAAGAAAGCACGCCGACGCTCGCTGTTAATTGGGAAAAAAAGGTCCCAGTGTGAGTCGAAAGTGGGGGAGGCGGGAGCGCTGCGGGACACTCTGAGCCCAGCGTCACATCAGTGCAAACAGCGCAGTGGGCCCCGAGAGGTCGGAGCTTCATGCCGGCGCGCCTATAATCGGCCGGCTTTAAATGTGAGCCTTCCCATTGGTCTGCTCACCTGTGCCCCGATGCCGCATTCGGTAACCCGGGGCTCACCGCGCCACACCGAGGAGACCCTGACTCACATGGCAGACCGATGACCGGTGACGGCTCGGTGAGGCGAGAGCAGCCTCCGATATCCTCGGATGCTCCGTGGCTGGCCTCGGCCAACGTTGAGAGACTCGGATCAGCCTCTCACCTACAAACTTCAATATCCGCCGAAATTTTCAACTTTTTCATGTCAGACCAGAAAACATGAACACACAGGCCATTGCCCGGTTCAAGCTCGAAACTTGAGACGACTCTCGTCATTGACACGACCGCGGCCTGCAACCCCCGATAACTCCGAGAACGGCGCCTTCTGAGACTTGCCCAGCCCAGCCTAAGCTTACCAAGCTTGCACAAACTTCGCAACGGCTAGCGCAAATCTGCGTATGACGCATAGCTAACCTTGTTGACCAGTTTGTTGCTGATGTCGTTCTCGTACCGCCCGAACTCCATGCCCATCGTGGGCCAGCCGTTGTTCTCGAATTTCCCCATCTGTCTTTCATTGTTGCATGGAATCATGGATGCAGCTCGAAATTCGCATCTGCTTGTCCAAGCTTTATCAGCAGAGAATGATGCCATCGATATTGAATCAGTCTCAGAATCCGACCAATCCACTCTTGTTGCCCGGTCTGTCCTTTGAAACTGATCAGGGAACTCCCAGCTTCAAACAAATGATACCCCGCATATGCAGTAGGCGGAGGCGAAACACATGCTGAGCAGGGTCACATTGGCAAGCTGTGCCGAGTAACAACATTGACAGAGAACGTTTCTGGAAAGGGGAGCTTCAGTAAAGTGCAACTCAACCCATGTCCCCTGCCATGATGCATTCAGTGAGGTCTTGATCTTAAATTCCATGACAGAATTGAATATGGACCGTGGAGATTGATGCACGAGCAAATCTCACACAGAAAGTTTGTTTTGAACTCGCCCTGATGAGTGTTCTTCACGTGAAGGGTGCCCAGGACTCTCCATCAATGTAGCACGCTACCTGCGCCGCAAAACACATCTGCTCGTTGAATACTTTTCTTTGTAAGCTAAACAAAGCTTGGTTGTACGTCTCAAAACTCCCCTCGGCCACAACTCCGTAGTTAGGCGATCCTGGCTCAGCACACATTTCAAGACAACTCTAACCTTTGCGATTGGTGACCTGTCAAGCATCACTATGGAACCAAAGTCTATCTTGATACGACGACTGCAAAGTCGTAAGAGATTAGGACACAGCCCCAATACGGTTATCTGATGGAACTCAAGCCACATGACAGCTCGCAAAACAGCCCACTCTTCAGTGGCGTTACACTTTGTTGATCAACTTGTCAAGTCCAATCACGTTACCGAGCTCCTCGCCCTGAAATAACTGCTTTTACGGTTTACCAAGCTCGTGGTGATCAGCGTCAGCGGGTGAATAGGTGAGCAACTCCCCTGTTAGTGCAACCAGTAGTGCTTAATAAAGTTTCCAGAATGCTGTCAGATTCAATTGAATCCTTCAAACCCGCACCAAGAGAAACTTCTTTTCCTCCCAGCTCATATCTTCGTGACCCCTGGGGATGAAGCTACCGAGAACCATCAGAAGCCCAAAGCAAGATGCGTACCTCCCCTTAAAAATAATGTCGCCTTGGCCGAAGCCAACGAGTATGACCGGGGCACTCACAAGGAGCGAGACTAGTAGACACGTAGGAGAAGTCGATGAACAGAAGGATCCATGGTTAGTAACGCAGCCAACTTTCCCGAGTCGACATGAGCGAATAGTTGAATGCCAACATAGCTGAGCCTGGAACATGTTGTGCGATGAGGCATCTCATGATAAAATATCTGACTTTGACATGACTCGCAACTTCATCCTTCGGGAGGGCGCTTCAGCTCCGAGCTGCCCGAAGCAAGTAAGCAATCCGAGTTAAGTAATGATTGACGGCCATTTATCATGTCCTGGAGGATATTTGGTAAATCGCATTACCCTATTATAGTACGATCAAAAAATGCTTTGTTGTGTTAAACGCATCAGTGGTAATGGCGGTCTAGCATCGTCTATCCACTGGGTGGACCTTGGACCCTGAGAGGACTGAAGAAACCCGGACACACGTTAGGCAGCCGAATTATCCACAACGCTTTCCACAACTATGTGGAGAAACTTAATTGCAATACGATACAAAAGATCAAAACGACAATACAAAAGATCAAAACCGTTACGAGGCACCGCATGAGGAGTTCTGGCTGGGGGGAGGTATGGGGACTCAGAGTCGGAATCACTTAGACATTGAAGCTTCTCTCATTTGCAAGTCAAGTCTTCAGGATATATAAACAACTGTTTTTCTGCCTCTCTCGACTCACAATTCACCCATCTCACTCACCTCAACTTCATCGCACAACGAGCAACCCTCATCTTCTCACCTGACAACTCCCACTTCTCGAGCTCCTCAACTCAAGACGCCCAAAAACCCCAACATCACAATGCATTTCACCACCGCAGCTGGCTTGATCGTCGCGGCCATGACGCCCTTTACCTCCGCGGCCTCCTGCAAAAATTTCGGCAACAGGGCCATCCCTATCTGGCAAGTGCGGGCCACCGGCGTCGTCGACATCCCCGGAAAGTGTGGCGGCCTGTGGGACAACCTGAACGGCTATGGCGCCTGTGGCAAGAGCGCCACCAGTTGCGGCGAAGTTAACGGGGAGATGGTTTGGCAATTCACTGGCAGCTCCGGCTGCACCGCCGGTGTTGTGAACACGGTCTGGTACAGCGCAACCAAGAACCAATGGGGCTCCATCAGCTGCCAGATTTAACCGGCCCACTCGGGCCTCGGGTGGCTAGGATAACGGAAGGAATTTGCACACTGCAAAGATGCCTGGAGGCCGGATCATCCTGCTCACCCCTCTCGCGCAACCTCCGAGGGCGGGTGGTCTGGCCGTACCTGAACGACAAAGCGGCTGACTGATGGATTACGTTGATTTAACTTTGAGTGGAAAGCCTTGGATACCTGGGCAGCGACTTGTCTGAGCTTCTACAGTATAAATTACATTCTGTCTTTACATATAAATCATAAATGGCTGAGGCTAACGTTGTTTATATTCTGTCTTGACACCGTTGGCTCGCACATGGGACCAAGTGTTCACCCGCGTTATATCATCGGTATGGGTGAGAAGGTCCATGGGCTGCTCTGCATGTATGTCTGGTGGCCTGGAGCACTGATACTATAATAACCAGCAAACTCACTAGTTCCAACGTATCCTTTGGTCTTGCAAGTGGTGATGCGTACCCCGTAAGAACTCAAGGCTTAATTCGACGACATTCTTTACAACCTCAGAAACTTTGCAGGTCATCACTCTGACAAAACCTTTCCTGCGGCATCGTATTGATCCTATTACAGCCAAACACTGTCAAGCTCCTATACAGACGGCCTCTGCTAATCCGGCTTTGACACGTTTGAGGTGTCTCGTGTAGCACTGGAAAGGAGTCTTCATTCAAAGCCCGCAGTTTCTACCAGGTGTCTCCTTCGCGGCTGCAGCTCAAGTCCGCGAGTGTAGCAAACGACCAACTGATTGATCGCATTATTTCCAGATAGAGCACGACATGGAAAAGTGCTTGCTTTTATTCTGAATCTTCATTATGGTACCAGCCCTCAGTTACCCATCATAAATGCCATCATCGTCAACGACCACCGATGCAAAACCCTCAATCACAACCTCACATGCCAAGTCAAATGCCCATCTTCCTTAAGCAGTCGCCTGCACCTCACTCACAGGAGCCACCGCCCCCCTCACCATCAATGTCTTCTCGTCCTCCCCCGCCTCGAACCTCCTCAACATCTCGTCCGGATCGAACCTCGGCCCGCGCGGGTCCTTCGCAAACTCCGCGCTCATCATGAACGCCACCGCGTCCTCAGGCTTCTCGTACGCGTCCACCTGCGTCTCGATCTTGTTCCCATCGGGGTCGCGGTAGTACATGCTCGTCGACATGCCGTGGTGCACGCAGTACGCCGGCTCGAAGCCCATCTCCTTGCGCGCGCGGTACGACGTCAGCAGCGCGCCGAGCGAGTCGAACGTCAGCGCGAAGTGGTCCATGCCGCAGCTGTTCTCGGGCCGCGGCGTCGCGCTCGCGTCGTGCAGGATCGCTAGGCGGTGGTGCTCGTGGTCCCACGTCAGGAAGCTGATGAGCTCCGAGGAGTGCACCACGCGCGCGTTGAGGAACTTGGTGTAGAAGTCAACGAGCCGCTTGGCGTTGTTCGTGCGGAGGACGAGGTGGGCGAGCTCGGAGGGCCGGCTGACCCCTGACGGTGCGATGGCCATGGTTGCTGATATGGGATGAGAGATGTAATATGTGATCTCTAATAAGAATGGCAGTTGGGTTGACGTCGTATGAGAGATGGAAACCACATGTAAGTCTGCTTCAGCTAGCAGAATAAAGTTGCGGGGGAGGTTCGCAGCTTATAACCGCACCATCTCGCGCGTGGCGTTCAACGAACGGGACGAATCACGCCCCGGGACCGATTACGTTTCACGACATTGTTGTCTCACGCTGCACGAATTCATTCGTCCAATGTCTTCCTGTAGGAGTTCTCTTACGTCCCGATGCCGTTCTTTTCGGCCTCCGAGCCACGTAGATCTGTTCCTCCTGCGCTGTGCTGTCGGCTGCATGATCAGCCGCGTCGGACGTCCGCCCAGCGCACGACCCAAACAGCTGGTGGCTGACATGGAGTATTATTCGATCTGGGAGGACGCACTGTTCATAGCGGGCGTGGCTGGCCCAATCACTCCAGGTTCAGCGCGATAGATTGGTGCTGTTGCGACTCGAGCGCGTTTCTCTACCCCAGATTATGGGATGTTTTGAGGGTTCAGAGATGGGATGACGGGACCGAGCTCTCTGCGCGGCCTTCGGAGATACACGGGCTCGCGAGCCCCGAGTTTCCGTTCGCCACGGCGGTTACTTACTCATTTACGACGTATTTCAGGATCTCGACGGGCGGTTGTTGGATTGAAGTTTCATGGGTCCCCATCTGGCTTCCAAGTCCCGAGTAATAACTCGTTGGGATGGACTCGACGACGTTGAGTGGACAGCTCACATCCAAGATTCGAGTTCGGGGAGTTAGGGGTGGTTCAACCCAATGTAGGGAGTTGCCAACTTTGCCTTTGTCGCCGCATTGCTAGCGGGAAGTATAACGATTATATGAACCTCTTCATTCCAATAGCGCTCGTCTCACAGGTTGACTGATTTGACTTCAAGTTTGGCTAGCGTGCGAGAGTTCAAGTGCGAGAACGACGCCAGTGGTAGACCAACCAAGTGGCAATGCGTTAGCCTTTTTGTCACCGCTCACATGGTTGCCTCAAGTTTCAAAGCGCCGTTGGCGATTGACATATTCTCCGATGGCCGCACATGCGCTCGTCTTTCTTTGGTTTGATCTTGAAATTGGAAGAAGGCGACGAATATCGTTTTAGGCATTGGATTTCCCCCCTGCATTCGAAGATCTTGGCATGAGTTTGGGATGCCGCTGGAATAGCATTGAGAATTGAGTGTTGTAATACTTGACTGTCTATTTGCTCCAGCTGAGAGCCAACAAGGAAAGAACGTGTAAAAAGACCAAAACGACCAAGACATGAGTTGAGCACGCGGCCTGCGACCGGACCTAAGTCGCTGCTTTACCACCTGAGATGCTTGGTATCAAAATGCAAACGAATTATCGGCGATTGTTGGGTTGAAGTTTCCTCGAGAAGAATTATCCAAAAAGGAAATCGACCCAGGCATGAGTTGAACACGCGACCTTTCATCTACTGTATGAATACTCTACCACCTGAGCTACCTGGTCTTGCAAGTAGAATAATACATGACGCTGACGTTGAATCTAGAGTGCAGTAACAAGAGTGGTCTTGCTGATGTCCGATCTGCTTGGCGATGTTTTTCGTCGGTGGCTATGCTGCATGTTGTTGGCGACTGCGCCATGTTCGTGCAGGTACTTCTGGCCCAAGTCAACTTCAGCGCTTCTACACCCGAGACAAACCAGCCGCTCGGTAAGCACAATAACAAATAAACGACAGTTGCTACAGGGGAAATCGTCATCAGAGCCTTGCAAATACTTCACGAAGCGGCCCTGGGGGCCTGCAAGCTATGCTTATACGGTTCCCGTACCCTGAGTGACTTCACGAAAGGAAGTTGATCACCTCGTAGGAATTCTGCCCTGGAGTGACCAACATAAAGGAATGAGATTACAAGGCTCTCTCCTTCCAACACCACGTTGTGACTTATCGAGCCATTCAAAGCCAAAGTCCCTCCCGCGTGGGTACGGGGATGGCATGGGCCACCGTAAGCTGCAAGAGATGGTGGTGGTGTGGTCAGCGCTCAAAGTTAACCAAACTTGCAGCTATGAAGGAGTGCTTGGCCTTTCTGGGATAGACAAAATCGATCGAAGCACTGATTACTTACAAAAAAAGGAAAATCCTCATCAGTGCAGAGGCATAGCAAGCCCTCACGCATGAGAGAATACTCAGTTACAGGGAAAACGTGTTTCGGACATGGACTCCGAAGACGAACCACTAAGCACACATCGAGTCATGCGCTATTCTTCCCCAGCATCTCGCCTGATCGGCACTCCAACCCCCCAACCATGCTTTTAAGAATTACCTTTTAGAGTTAAGCTGACAACGTCCCACCTGCTGAATAATTCTGAAGAAAGCTCTTAAGTTCGCCGCGGCAGAAGAAAAGGGACTTTGGTGAAAGCCAAAAGACCGTGCAGGAAACCGGCAAGCAAGCGTCTCATCTAGCGAGATTCTCACAATTTGTTGCCGGCAAGGGTCCAAATCCTTCTGCCTAGAGCAGTTTTAGCGGTCTCCAGTTGCGTCGCGACCTTATCAACTCCGCAAATTCCGCAAAAGAGACTGAGTATCTCTGCTGCCTTGGGCCCACGGTTTGGGGCTGTCGGTGGAGCAGTCGCTGAATGTCATCATCTACGCCTTTCAGCGGGAATAAACGATGAAAATTGGGACGGTCCCTCGTCCATTATCAGGCTCCCACGTTTTACGTTGAAGAAGTCGTTGAGTGCATCAATGATCTCTCCTTCATGATCGCAGACAAGCTGCTTGATAGCAAGAACTCGTCCAGCACTCATTCAGCCCTAACCAAGGCCGTACACCCATCCCGGCTTATCGGGACAGTAGTGTTGTGCTGCATCTCAGCCCCGCGTCCCCGTGGAGGCTTCGCCGGCTTCGTGTGACGCCGTGATTGCTCAGCTTGCCGCGCAGATTTTCGTTTTCGTCCACCAAAAACGGGAACCAAGGAACCGGCCGCAGAGCAGTGGCTTAGCCTTCCAGCCAAGTCCGTCTGTGAGACGAGCTTGCTATCGACGGCGGCCATGGCAGCATCGCCAATAGCACCCTAACGGGCAAAGGCAGTTTGAAGCTCATTGCCAAATCGAACCCAGTTTCATCACACCAGCGACCCTGTCATCTCAACTTGCAGGCAGCAAAAGCAGAGAACGCACGGGCCGTAACCCGGAATCGGTCAGTGTTCTGTCGACCGTTGACCGTGAACCGGGTCCCCGTAGCACTTTAGGATCGTGTTTATTATTTACCCCTGGCTAGCGGGCGCCCGCTTGCGCCAAGGATGGTGGACTGGCAAGAAAGGTTTGGCGTATAAACCCTCACGCTATTGGCCGCCATTCCGGGTGCCTGAGAACCGATGGAGAGGAGAGAAAATCGTACTCTGCAAGGCTGGCGGCTCTAGTCCGTTTGAGGCCATGTCTTTCGACATTTGTGCATGGATTCTTATTCGCCTGGGTGCAACACAGCATCATGAACCCCAGTCGAGCCCCCAATTAGCTCAAAGATGGTCGTGCTCTTGGTGGGACAGGGCAGACTTTTGGCTCTTACACCACCGGCCGATCGCGAGAAGAGCGGCCGACGGATCGCAGCCTGCGTCTTTCGAGACTGAGAGCCTGGCCGGGGGGCCCTGGGGTGCCATTGCATGTTATATGAGACCTTGCACCCCCCCAAAACCAATACCGTGGCGTCGTGAAATCCTACGCCAAGGTTGTGCTTCCTTCTCGTGTTGCTCATTGTCGGCTTTAAACCACGTTATTCTCTGATCCGTCCGACTAGTCTTGAGATCCGAACCCTTTCCCTTTTCTTCCAGGTGTGTGGTCTTACCCAGGCGATAAAAGAAAGAAGAAGCGACGAGGTCGTCGATCAGAAAGAATACTCGCCAACAATGGCCACATCAGGACCGACGAGCTCTCCGGAGGGCCACCCAGCCTCGCTGGCACCCAACAACATTACCTCCGCACGAACATCGTCCGACGACTCTCGCGACCCGAAGTACCAAGCAGGACTGATGCCGGCCGAGTATGTGGGCCTGGAGGTGGCCAACAACGGCGACGGACATTACCAGACTGCGGCACCCGGCGGACCAGGATACTACGTGCCATACCAAGACAACGTCAAGCCCCCATCGGGATACGACCAACAACCGTACCAACAACAGCAGCCGTACCCACAATCGGCACCGACACCATCGGCGTATGGCGGGGACTATGCGGCAGCTCCGCCTCCGGGGAAGGGAGAGAAGAGGATATGCGGCATCCGGGCGGCGACGTTTTGGATGGGGTTGTTGGCGTTGATATTCCTTCTCGGCACGATTGGCGCGTCCGCGGCTGCTGGTACAATTGCCCAGCAGTATGCGGGATACATCCAAACATGCGATGCGTAAGTTCATACTCACTATTCTCCATCTTGCCGAACACCGTCACTGACCCATCTCGCAGTAAGCTGGGACAATCAGCAACACAAGCCTCAGCCTCAGCAGCAGCGTCAAACTCTGCGGCAACAGCCTCGGCGTCTGCATCAAACACTGCCTCTGGAACCGCCTCAGCAACAGCAGCAGCAGCATCTGCTACATCAACTGGCTTCACGTCGATTCCACTGCCCCAACAAGCCTCCTCGATCTTCGGTGAGGCTACTTCAAACTGCCCGAACCTGTCTGCCGAGAACAAGACGTACTCTGTCCCCGGGAGCAACCTGAAGTTCGTCCGCGAATGCGGCAAGAACTATCCCTTCAACGACTTGGGATACATCCCATTGACCAGGATGGAGGACTGCATGAACCTGTGCGCTGCGTTGAGCGTCACAACGCAGAGTGCCGACGGGCCGTGCATCGGCGTCGCCTGGGTCACGGCCGGCAAGCAGGGTACGGACCAGAACTACTGCTGGCTGAAGGGTGCGAAGGGATCACCGGACCCCAAGGCCAATGTTGAGGCGGCGTGGTTGTCTTTGTCATGATGTGTTGATAAGAGATGAGCTAATAAGAGATGAGGAGGTTGGTATACGTGGGATGAGGAAGACGAGACGAAATAAGATCGGGCTGAGGATAAAAGGCTCTGGACGACGTTAATTGTTTATTATACCATTGAAGCATGTTTCATAGTCAGGCATCTATGTTTTATGTCACATTCATCTTAATGCCAACCATATCATTCCCACACTTCGTCTTCAGTCCCAGTAATCCATCAATCACAATAGCACGCCCTCAAACTGAACTGCAACAGAATGTACTATTGTCTCTCTGGACGGTGTAACAAGTCCTCAAACAGTGGAGGTGTAGATGAATCTGCTACTAGCTTCCGCCACTTACTTGCGATACCACATCCTTGTCACTTTTGTTTTCTGGATCTTCCTCTGCAGTCGAAAGATACCGTACAGCAATGCCTCCGCCGTGGGCGGGCACCCAGGGACGTATATATCAACGGGCAAAATCCTGTCCACGCCCCTCACTACGCTGTAGCTGTAATAATAGTATCCGCCGCCATTCGCACAGCTACCCATACTAATCACCCACTTTGGATCCGGCATCTGATCGTAGCACTGTCGCACAGCCGAAGCCATCTTGTTCGTAACGGTGCCGGCGACGATCATGACGTCCGACTGGCGCGGCGAGGCGCGGAAGATGATACCCAGGCGGTCCATGTCGTAGCGAGGCATGGAGGAGTGCATCATCTCGATGCCGCAGCAGGCGAGGGCGAATGTGAGTGGCCACATGGAACCATTGCGTGCCCAAGCGACTAGCTGATCGAAAGTGGTACTGTGTCACCACTAGGTCAGCAACGTGTGTTGGCAAGTCACTTGGACGGAGTCATACAGGACGTGTTCAACCACGCTTGTTGGTCGCGGTTCGGCGGAAAGTCCGAGAGGAGAAGACCGTGGAGTGCGAGGAGTAGCATTCTTCGATTGGAAGCGAAGGCCTCCATGCTTCTGATTGTGGCTTGGATAGCAAATAACAGGTAGATGTTGTGCGAAGGTATTGAGGCAGTTGCGTACGCCTGCGAGACGGACTATTGGAGTGAGTATTTGTAAGTGGGCCGTGATATCTGGATACCTTATGCTTACCTTTTGACGGTAACATTGTAGCCATCTCTGTGAATTAAATGAGTGAGCGAGGAGAGTTTCTGACGAGAATCAAAACTATGAAGAGAAAAGAAAAAGAAGAAGAGGTTTTGAGCAATGTTGCCCGAGAATGCTCACTTCTGACGTCGTGCCGGGAAATTCACACATTGAGGGACGCAGACGAGGAGGACGCCGGAGTCCACCTAAGTGGCGCATATCCTAGGGTCCATCATCTGGCCCTTCAACATCACTGCCAATTCCGGATCAAACATTTTTCTCGGAATTTTCTTAAGTATCAGATATTCCTTCAAATTAGTTTCTATTGTCTTTTTGGTATGTTCTGAACTCAGAGCAGGGCATATCATTCAAGCCTTGGATTGGGACTTTACCGGAATAGGAAGTGGGGTCAGTGGCTGCAGCCACGGGGAAAACACTCATGTTCTTCTGTCCTCCAACGTTCCCTTGTCACATCTGTCATCACACCACTCCTAGCAGAATAGCAGCCCGGCACGCTTTGAAATCCACGGTTAAGGCTTTGTTTCTACTCGGTATCTGGAAAGGTACAGAGTCATGGCGAGCACCGGTCCAATCACTGAGACCGCCGAGTCCATGTCTCCAAGGCTCGCAGACTGTCCGGTCTGCCACCTCCCAATCGCCACATTAGCAAAGCTCTCCGGGCTACACGCCTGCCCTTTCTGCAGGAAAACCTTCAAGCGAGTGGATGGTGCTCGAAGACACGCCAAGTCTTGTCACAAGCGAGGAAAACAACCATTGCCTGTGGAAGCAAAGCGAGGCCGGAAGCTTCGGGCCTGCGACCGATGTTCCCGCATCAAATCTCAATGTGATGGGAAACTCCCTTGCGGTCATTGCAACGCGCGGAAACTTGACTGCACTTTCGAACGCTTCTGCAGCGACCGATCTCACAGACAGGAGGCCTCCGGTACAGAAAGCGCTAGGACGCAACATTCCCAGCTGTCGTTCTTCCTCAACTTCACGGGTCCACGAGGGGGCCAAGCAATCGAGCAGGAGATGGCCGTCGTGCCAGAAGTCGACATCCAAGGTCCTTTCACGAACAAAGCTCCTGACTCAAACGTCATACCCGACTTTGGCGACTGCATCGATCCGTCACTTCTTTTCACGACCCTTTTGGACCCGTCTTTCGACATGGACCCGGCGGAGGCAGGACCTGCGGACGTATTTGGGTACTCCGAGTACAACGTCTCTGGCGGCCTAACCATGACATCGCCCACCGACGCACTCGCTGTACGAATAGCTCAACTTTCTGAAGACCTATCGCAAGTTGCTTCATTGAATTCGGAGCTTAGTTGCTTTGACCCTACATCATTCAACGAGGTCTTCTCCAGTGATCAGGTTCATGCGTTCTGCGAAGCGTTCTCTCGGAAGCGGCACTACCAATACCCAGTCGTACATTGGCCAACTTTTAACCTCGAAATAACTTGTTTGCCTTTACTGTTGGCGATATCTCTCAACGGTGCGGCCTACTCCAAATCTTCTTCTGATGCCGCGGGAAGCAGAGCGAGGGCACGAGACTTCTACCTCATTGCAGACGCATACATCTTCCAACAATTAGAACGCTCCATGAACAGAAATTACCAAGAACCTGAATCTGAGACAACTGTCGAAATACTCCAAGCTGCGTTGCTGATCGTAGTCTTGCAGATATGTTTTGATGACAGCCGAAAAGGGGTAATAATCTTCAAGCGTCTTCCGCTACTGGTGCTTTTTCTCCGGCACTTTGGTCTCACCAGGATGAAACATGACGAGGCGGAAGACTGGCGAACTTTCATAAAACAGGAGACGCGGATCCGTCTTTCGACATGGACGTTCTTCATGGACAGTCTCTTGACATTATTCTGCAACAACCCACCGTCAATGTCCCATGCTGAGACTCTCGGGCACCTTCCATGTAGTCAGGCTTTGTGGGACGTGGGGTCCGAGGAAGCCTTCAACCAGCTTAGGCTTGAGGCTGGACACGAATTCGTCTGCTTAGGATATTTGACAGTTGGGCTGATGCAAAATGAGTGGCCGATTGAGCCAGTACCCCCGTTTGATCGGCTCACCCTTCATCACCTGAATGCGGTCATTGTTGGTGAGTTTAGAGAAGCCTCTGGTGTATATTTAGGCTGACCTGATGTACTTCTAGCCTTACAACCGATTATCTTCAATTTGCATACATTTTCGCTGCATGACACAAGACGGATCAATTTGCTTCGGGCCCTCGATCGGTGGACGACACTCTGGATCGTTGCAACCCATCCTAAACAGCCTGGATCTCTAGGCGTTGAGCGGAACAGCCCCGGTCTAGCACTGTTATCAAGAAAAATCATTGAAGCCACGGGCACCGATACGGCAGGGCAATGCGAGTATCTGCAACGCGTCCCGAAGCACGACTTCTCAGATCTTCACCGCTTTATTAGAGAATACTGCTACTGAATGGCTCTACGGTATGTGTGGCGTCCTGGATCGCCCCAAGAGCTTCCATAATTGTCACACATCCTTTACATTTTTATGATACTCCCTTTAATGCCAATGACATAATTCCCACCACTCGTATTCGGTTCCGGGCTGTTGGTGGCGGACCTTCGCGGCCCCCTTTGTAGATTCGACCGATTTTCGGCCGAAGTTCACAACCGCAAGACTTGGGACGATCCACGACGCTAAGCTTCGGCCGAAATACCGTGATGTACTGATTTCATCAAGTGCCCAAAAAAAGTCTCGATGAAACTTGTGGACATCTATTTAACCAGTCTCGCCGGCTGGACATTGAATCCGCAGAAGTCATCACGCATCCGCAGGGACCACAACGAAGCCATGGCCAACAAGATCAGGGTCGCCATAGCCGGCGCAACTGGGAACACGGGTTCCTCAATCGTGAATGCGCTGTTGAAGTCACCAGAGCTATTCGTAAGTTACCTCCCCTAGAAATTCCCAACTGCGCTTGGCCGACCTTCGACTCACTCCGCGGCAGGATATCACTGCTCTAGCGAGACCCGCCTCAGTTGGAAAACCGGAACTCGTTGAATTCGCAAAACAAGGCGTCGATGTGGAGTCAGTTGAGCTGGATGGGTCAATTGACGCAATTTCTGGCACCCTCGCAAACATGGACGTGGTCATTTCGTGCTTGACCTTGCTCCAGTTCAACGAGGAGATGAATCTCATTGAAGCGTCGAGCAAGGCCAACGTCGATCGGTACATACCAAGCTTCTGGGGCCCAGCCTGCGAGCCACGAGGCGTCATGATGATTAGGGAAATGGTGAGTTCGGGTCGCCGCAAAATTTCCTCCACTTGAGTGGGAACAAGGGAACCCGAGCCTTTTGCTAATTGATGCATTATCAACACAGAAAGAGGACTTCTTAGACCGTATCAAAAGCCTCAATCTCCCTTACACCATCGTTGACGTTGGCTGGTGGTATCAGCTGGCCTTGCCTGCTCTGCCTTCAGGGAGATTTCGGCCAGCTGCGGAAGAGTACTCTACCACCCGCATTATTGGAGACGGCAATGTTCCTTGGGCCCTCACCGACAACCGCGATATTGGGAAGTTTGTCTCTAGAATCATCGCCGACCGGAGCACTTTCAACAAGATGGTCTTCGCCTACGGAGAGGTTATAACACAGAACGACGCCTTCGAGCTTGTTGAGAGGGTATCCGGAGAGACTGTCCGCCGACAGTTTGTAAGTCCATCAAGTTTTCATCCGGCTTAAAGACTAGGGACTGACCAGACAATCCAGATAACCAAGGAAGAGTTGCAGGATGTCATCACCCAAGGCCGCGCAAATTCTGGCAAGGAGAACATCAAGGATGTGACGATTCTGCTCAACATCGCCATGGCAGAGTATCGGAATGTTCTCGGCATTCGAGGCGACAATACTCCCGAAAAGGCACGAAGCCTTGGATATCTTGATGCACGAGATTTGTATCCCGACGTGGAGGTCACTACCCTTGAAAACTACATCAGAGGTCTCGTACGCTGAGGGGCATGCTAGCATAGGGAGATTGAAAAGAAGATCGACTGGCGACCCAACCCTTTTGGTACTTACTGGTTCAAATTCCCACCTTGTGCAAGCTCAAAAGAAGCTGAGGCGGCTGGATCAACCATTGTGCCAGCTTACTTAGACTTGCGAGACGAAAGTCGGCCGGGCCCGGATACCCGGGCCTCCGGTCCGAACCCCGTCTTTCCATAGGAGGGATCGTCCACACCACTTTGTGGCCAGCTGCGCCCGACTCTTGTAGCCCAGATTAATCCAGGCCTTCAAAAAAGATTCAAGCTGCCATGGGCACGTGACGTCACACGTCACAACATGTACCTTCTCCAGGCAGCAGCCAGTTGCCAATTCAAGCATCCTACATCCCACACTTGTTACAAAAGCCCTCACCTGATCCCCCCGAATACCTCTCTCAGTTTGCCTTGAATAGAATCATATTTTTGTGCAGTTATTTTATTTTTAATTCCCACCCAGTCTGCGTTCCCCGTTCATCTGGTAATACAACAAACGTCGGCCAATATTGCTTTGTAACTAATCGCACCTACGCTTGCCTTTCCCGCCATGGACACATGCTCGGTAACTAAGTCTTCCACTTTGGCGCGTTTAGACGATCATAAGCGGAGGAGGCCCTCAGAGTCGGACGACGGTTTCGCCAAAGTGTCCAGTCTGTGTTTAATGTTGTCATTGTCTATAGTACCTCAACAACTCACACCCCGACAATACTGACAACACGCCTAGAGACCTAGGCTGGAGGAATGTGTTCCGCAACTCTCATTCCTGTAAGTTAGCCAAGACATCTCCATACCACACAATGCTGACATTCTGTAGGTCACTATCGCCCGAGATCAGGAATATGATTTATCGTCATCTCGGGCTTTTCACAACTCAGAATGTCAGAATCGTAGGCAGAGGCATCAATGTCCATTATGAGCCCACTTTCAACTTCCAACTGAAGAGACATAGGTTTCGGGGGGCTCTACATCCACGGTGTACCACCAAGTTCGATACGGCAATCGCATCAACGTGTAGACAAATACATCAAGAAACCAGAGCCGTATTATATGGGAGATTTTTCTTCCTCCCCAAAATGGAAGATGCCGCTTCGTGGCTGTTGAATATTGGACTACAAAACAGAGCCTTCTTACGAGGCATACGGCTGACGACCCGCGTCAAAGACACTCACCCAGCGTGCTCCTACGACTACGTCACTACGGATCGTGATCGATACAGACAGGTAGCAAAGCTCGTATCTGGTCTACTCGCCGCTTCATCAGGGCTCGAATGCCTGGGTTTTCAATACCTATTCAATCCTAGCAACCCACCCATTCTTTCCCATGCGCGCGAGGAGTGGATCAATAAGGCATACAGAATAACTGAAGAGCTTTACGTGGATTTCCAGTCCTTCTTTGCGGAAGCTCTTGCCCGCGGGAGAAGACCCTCGCAAATGTGCGACATTGTCCACATCAACTGGGAGATCTTCCAGGACAGAGAGTGGATGTCGTTGGAAACTGAGGACAACCGCTTGGAGTATAGCCAGACCATTGATGCAATCAATGCGTTCGGAGATCACTTGAATTGGCTGCTTGAATTGCACTCCAAAGGTCTAGTTCATCCTTCTCCGAGCTCTTCTTCGCTTTCCAGCATCAAAGTTGGGATGAACATTTGCAGGTATGTTGCATTATGACTTCACCTAAGCACACGGCTAACGAAGCCTGTACAACAACAGGTATTTGAAGTGAGCACCGCCATTTCCTGCGAAGCTGGTCAGAGATCAGTCCCACATCGTAATCCCACCAGAAATCTCAGACGAAGGGGTTCGAGAAGAACTACATCAAACACACAACGCTTGAAGGAGGGATGAGAGGCTTCAACTTCCCCGAAGAGTCACGTCACATGATCAGTGTACATGGATGTCGCACGTTTATCCAGAGAAGGCTTAAGACCATGTATAACGACGCGCGAAAGCATAAACTCGAACTATTGGTCAGAGCTTCGAAACCAGAAGATTTGGCGACGCGATCACTTTCCCAAGGCGCAGAAGACCATTCACAATGGCAGACGGTTGATCAATTGAGGCGTAACTGATTCGATATATTTGAAAGTTGTCCGAAATGGGGCGTGAGTGGAATAAATACAAGAGAAAACGATTCGTCTCTTGAGAATGGGTAACCCGCTGCCCGATGTTGAATGAAACGCACGGAAGTCCAGCCCCCAAACACATGAGCAATATGAAAACCAACCTAGTTGGTGGCGGTTTGCTTGGCCGAACCAGCACCGTTCCAAGTCTCAACGGCGATGACCTGGAAGTTCAGCGTGCCGAGGTTCATGCCGTGGCTCTTCCAGGCATTGAAGTGGTTGGCAATAGAGACGGTGCCGCTGGAGAGGCCGCCGTTGCGGACCGAGATGTACTGATTGAAGGTCTGGGTGCCTTGGATAGAAGGAGCGTTGGTGCGCACGTTCTCCCAAATGGTATAGGAGCCGCCGTCGCTGCTCACGGTGCCCTTCTGCGTTCCGGTCTGGGAGAAACCGGCAGAGTCCTCAATGACGTAGTATTCGACAAGGGGGTTGGTAGTCCAGCCGTAGACGGAAAGGGTGGCAAGTCCCTTGGTGATGGCGAATGAGCCCGAGTGCGTGATGGGGGCAGTGGAACCGGGGTTCCAGCCAACGCCAACAACGAAGTCGTCGGTGGTGTCAAAGTTGAGGGTGAGGCTATTGCCCGAGGGAGTAAAGTTGACGGTGCCGCCGGTCTGGTAGTTCTGAACGTAGTTGGTGCGCTCCTCCAGGCTCATGCCACGTCTCTCAAGGGATTCATTGCGGCGTGCAAGCATGAGAGGGTGGTCAGGTCCTAAGAAGAAGTCGGATGGGCCGCGGCGCTCCACATGAGGAGGCAACAGCTCAACCGGCCCGATGGCGGGAGCAGCAAGGCACGGGACGATAACTGCGAAGGCAAAAACAAAGGAACGAACGGAAACCATCTTGAGAATGAAGGACAGGATTGGGCGATCTGAACGTTGGTTGTTTTCGGACTGCCAAGAGTCCGGCATTAGGCATAGGCAAACGCCAGCCCTTTATACAATTTTCTTGGCATCTGGAGATCTCATCATCTCAATCTGCGGGTCAGAGCGATCCCGCTTCGGTAGGGGCAAACACCTCCAACGTTCGTCTTCAATCTCGACGAAACATTCTCTCTTCCGCGCTGAATAAATTTAGGCAGAACCGGAAGAGTGCACCCCTTGTACAGACGAGGAGACGCGGATAAAAACAACGATGGTGCGATTCCACTAGCCAAATCACATCGACGAAGTAAGACCTAGACTCACGCTTTCGGAAGACCATGTCTCTTTGAGCTATTGGCTTTACAGGTTTCCCCTATGAACAGTGAGTTGCATTACCCTTTGGCTCATTAGAGCTGTTGCATTCTGATGGGCTGTCTGAAGAACGTGGAGAAACCACTCAAATGCATACCAACGGAGGCAGTTTAGTTGGGGAGGGCAGCTCGGCAGTCGATTAATTTAAGCATATGCAGGTCCGCATCGCCTGGCCCGTGGCGTCATGAGTGCGGGAGAGCTATATCATCGGCACAACAGCCGCTCAATGTCGTATTTAACGGCTGCGTCAGCATTTTTCTATCTTTCTCACGTATAGATCAGCAGGGCGAGTAACATATTGGATCAACCAATGAAAATCAGAAGATGCTTGTGGAAAGGTATCAGCAGTGAAACTCAGCAGGACGTGTCCACAAACACTGGTTGGGCAATCCTCAATCAAAAGGCTACACCGGCTTCACTTACAATGATTGGATGGCTAAAGGGTGCCAACATTGCCCAGCAAGGGGACCCAGGAAAGCGCGGCTAGGAGGCATGGTTCTAGCGTCAATCCGGGAAAGACGGCAGGGGCTCGGGTGTTGTACGAGTCCTTCGGGGAACCATTGGACAGAGCTTCTAGATAGCTCAGCAATTAAATAAAAGCTGATCGGCCACAGCCCGTACTCGCTTCGTATTCGTCTAGGTATTCCTGTTGTCTCGGGTACAGTAAAATGTTGATTGATGTCTCTAGCTGTGTAGAGCAAGAGAAGCGCCATTCAATAATCAAGATGTCTGAATCACAGCGAAGAACATGTTGAATTCTCTTTTACCCAGATGCTGGACTTATTGTGCTATCTATTGCGACATCTAAGAAACCACCAGAGACAAACTTCCTAGAATACTAGAGACTTTCCATGATTTAGGAGTCTATTACCAACCCATCTAGTTTCCCATCTTCCATCCACACCCCGACAACCTTCTGGAAACTGAGAATACCTTCTCCCCAAAACGACTGTTTAGCAAACTGCTCTTCGATCTCTTCCGTAAGACTTTCCTGGTCCTGGATGAGGCCTTCGCCTGTCAGGTAACCCGGTGTACAGCTGGGAAATGCTGCAAACCAGCGAGCCCGCTTCGCAACTTCTGCTGACCAGTGGTCCTCAGCGGCCTTCTCGACCTCGACGGTGGCCTTCTTTGCATCTTCAGCACCTTCGAAAGTCGCTTTCAATACGTACGCAATTAAGCGAGTAAGAAGGCTGTAGAAGCTGTGCGCATTCTGTGACGCCGCGCCGCCACTCCCAGAGGCGAAGAAGAGGTTGGGAAACCCATTTGACATGGCACCGTAAAGGTTACCATAGTCTGGGCCATCCCACTTGTCCTTGAATAGTCGGCCATCTCGACCATCCAGCGGAGCATTCAAAGCCGACGAAGGGCAGGAGTCGACAAGCCCAACAGATTAGCCCGTAGCGAGGATGAGAACGTCAAGCTCGTGCTCCTGGACGTTTGCCATCACACCGTTTGGCGTATAAGCTTCAACGCCACGACCATGAGTGTCGACAAGCGAGACTTCTGGTCTGTTGAAGAGTGAGAGGTATGTGCCATGGAAGGTTGGTCTCTTGCAAATGCCGGGGTACCACGCTTTGAGACTCTAGGCGACCGAAGGGTCCATCACCTCGGCGTCAACGCGAGCTCGTATCTTTTCCATCCACGGATAGTCGAGGTTCAACATCTTCTTGACATGATCTTCCTCTTCATCCGCAGCGATGACCTCGCCCTTATGACCCAGTGCGGCTCTCATCCCGGTTACTTGAGTCCAGCCATCCTGTATCATATCCTCATCAACCGGCTGACCTGTACATATCGCATCCAGGTTCGCCACACGCTCGTGCTGCCAGCCGGGCTTGTACGCTACTCGAGCCAAGTCCGTGGAGATTGTCTCTTTTTGATTCTGAGGATCAACTTAAGACGGAGTACGTTGGAAGACGTAGGTATGGCCTGCCCACTTGGCCACATGGGGTGCAACTTGAACTGCAGTGGCCCCGGTGCCAATGATTCCAATCCGCTTCCCTTGAAGTTTTGTCATGTCTGGGACTTCCTGGGAGCCGCCAGTCTTGGACCAATCCCGGCGTCCTGTATGCATGACAACCTTATCCGGCGCTGAACTGAATGTGTCGATGCCATTCAATTTTGGGGCATGAGGAGAGGTTTGTATTCCACCGTCAAGAACCAGGAATTGAGCACGAATAGTCAGTTGTTGTCGCCCATGGTTAGGTCCCAGATACTGATCCAGAGTCGCTACCCAACGCTTTACCTCATCGTCCCACTTTTGGTGTTTGATAGTGGTGCAGAATTGGCCTTGAATGTTGGACAGGTTGGTTATCCGTTTGAGATGCTCCCGGATTTCATGGCCGTAGGAACTAAGACATTGTGTGTCAGCAGCGTATGGTATCACGTAGAAGTTGACTTACTTACTACCTGTGCCTTGGCACGTACCCAGTTTCCTCCAGCAATGGCACGTAACAATACCCTTCGATATCGTACGCTACGCCTGGGTACCTATTCCAGTATTAGGTACCGCCAAAGCCATCACCAGCTTTTGACGATGTCGCTGCTGGAAATGCCGGCTTTATTCACCAGCTGGTGAGCTGTCATCACCCCAAACATTCCTCCACCAGCAATCAGGACCTTGACCTCGGACCCGTCCTTGAGTGGGACACCCCTGGAAGCTAGTGCGTCATAGTTGACATAGGGGTCTTTTTCCATGCAAGCGAGTTCTGGGTCACAAAAGTCGACGAACTGCGCGAGTTGGCCGGAGCGAAGTCGCTTTGTCCGCTCCGCAGTGTACTTCTCGACTAGGTGGTCTGGGATCTCCATGGCGTTGGGCTGCAGTGTGTCGAATTAATGTGATTGAACTGAAAAGGGGTTAACGAAAAGGAAGCACGGGATGGGCTACTCAAGTTGCTGTCCTGATTGTGTATTCAACCACAAAACCAAAAAAGTCGATGCGACTCTTGATAGCTGGACAACTACTTCGGCATGGACTTTGGTCTTCTAACAGTGCCGTGATGATGCCTGCTACATGCTGACAGGCAATGTTATGTCCATCTCTATGTCCGCGATGCTATGCGACATGCCTGCTTTTGCCAAGTCGACGTAGAATATGCGGACGCCAAACGTCCCACACTTTTACTCACACGGTGCTTGTAGACGGAGTGAGCCTATGTATACATCGATACTCTTGGCTGGCCATGCTTGTCATTGGGGGCATGTATGTGGCGGTCGATTCGGCTGCACCTGTATTGCTTCACTTTCTGTTCTATCCTCATGTCCGATCAGGGCAAAATGACCATTTTATACATGTATCACACGTAGTTAAGGCCTTTTGAGCACTCAAGTCCGGGCGAACGACTGCAACACCGTCGCCGAGACTATTCCGTTTCAGAACCTCCGTGGCTGGGCTTGAAAATGAAACGTACAACGTTCATTATGCTCCGGGTTGCTCCGATAAGTTCTCTGAGCGGACTAATGGAGGCTATTGTCAATGGTCTTAACCCAGATTCATCTGTTTTGACATATTCTTTAACGCATTTGCAACAGTGCCATAATATTACACCAACGCTGGACAAAGGGTTTCGCACGATTTATGTCTAGTCAGTGACTAGACCTCTCACAGTAAAGCCTTAATGACGGCTTCTGCAGGTTAAGGTAACCACAGAAGCCCTTACTCCAGGCTTTCGGAGCCGGTTCCCGCGGTTTCCAAGGGCCGAAGTAGCGTGGGCCAAGCGGCAGCACGGTCTTGAAGCGGACCCCGCTCCGCAAAGTAATAAAGTCTTGGTATCGCCAAAGGAATTCAATGACGGGGTGATACATTTCCAACAGATGGTCAAAAGTTCTATTTTGTATACGTGATTCAAAATTCAACGTTGTCTGGCACAAGTAGCTCAAAAGAGCGTGCGGATACCTAGCGCCGAAGCCGTCGCACATAGCTTATGACAACGCTTGAGTGACAAGGCACAAGAAAGTAATGGTTAACAACCTTTCATCTTACAAGCGGACAAAGGAAACGGGGCCAGTCCCAATGCGTACATATACCAGACTATGAATCCGTCAGGGTAGGTATTTTGGCGGACACTGTACCACAGTGCAGCAATTGCCCATAGCTTCGATTAGACCTTGATGGGTCATACCAATCTCGAAGGGTATGGCGAGTGAAGAAGTAGCAATAGCCACGCTGCCTGTCTCTCCAGCACATAAACCAGGTTGAGGTTTACTGGAGTCGAAATTGCGTGCAGGCCGGACGACGACACTAGAAGCAATTATTCCAGCCATGGGTTTCATTAGACCCTATCAAGTAATAAGTGTGCGTCGGCAACGACGGTGTAATGTTATCACATACGCCAAGGGCTGTCATCGCACCGCTCTTCGAAAGTATCGACCGAGATGTCGGCATGGACAAGGCAAAGAAAAGATCGGTATTCGTCTCAGGCACGACAAGAAAACCAAGACATCAGACGCATTTAGGTTCATGTACGTTGTGTCTTCCCTATTTGATTCAGATCAACAAACTGACATTGTTCATCAACGGGGATAGCCCTTCCCATTGACAGTCGACGTCTATACCAAGCCTCTCAATGAAGGAATCAAGATCAGCCATCTTAGGGCAGGAAAGATGTTCTGGTTTAGGATTGCTTTCCAGTTTGTCAAGTAGGATGATGGCATCTTCAGTAGTCAAGTGCTTCACAGCTGTTTCGAGAGCGCTTCCACGTTCTGTCTCCATGTCCACGAGTGCCTGGTTGTCTAAACGTTTGTTCACAAATTTTTATCCTTCGTTTATGCCGTTGAAATGACCAGGGGGGCCGGGCTACTGCAAAGTAGACCATCTGCCGCGAAGATCATATGAAGCCGCGCAGATCGCAGCCTTCAGAGGCGTGTCAATACCCAGCCTCTCCTGGAATAAAAGGTTGTTCCTATAGGGGCTACGGTCTATCTGGTTGACATCCGCTTCGGCATCAATTAGTGCCTCGAAGGCAGGCAGGGAATTGGCTTCGATGGCCGCAATGAGTCGTGGGGGGTAGCCAGCATTGATTGCATGGTTGCTTTGTGCCAAAAACCACCAAATCGGCTCGTGGTCATGTTTGATAGCCAGCGACAGAATCGATGGACGTTCCGGTCGAAGGACCCCGGGAAAACTGATGACAATCTGCCACCAGTCTTGGAGCATGTGGAATAATCCAAAGGCGGCCATCGCCTCCAAGGGTCTGGACCATTTGGGAGAAGTGTTCAGATTCCCGCGAATATCCTGCCAATTTCTGAAGGTTGAGCTATCACTTTCGACCGACCCCAGGAACTGCTTGACGATACAACCAAGCTCCGAATCTTTGGTTTGTGGTGAGTCGGCAACTCGCGCATGGTTCAACGCTTCCACTAAGATATAAGAGAGGCTGCCCACCGGCTTTCTATGAACTGGGACAGATTTCCCTCTAAGATACGAAAAGGGAGGGCGTTTGTAATTCTGCCTCCACAATAAAGATGGCGGCCATGATGGATTCCATAGATCATAACTGTCGTTTTCCACTGCAAATTTCAAGGAAGATATCGCAACATTATAGTGCGCGGAGCGAATATCATACTGATCTTTGTTTTCGACATACTCCCGTACAGATAAATGACAGAAACGCCAATATTCTAACTTTGACTCCCCATAACTGACATATGTAAGTAAATTACCACGTATGTTCAGGATATTCCCTTTGCCAAGTGTGTCATCGGGTATGGTTCCGTTTGAGCTGGCGTCCAATTGCATGGCTAACGACAGTTCTCGAGTGTGAAGAGGCCTAAATGCACATAGAACCCACAAGAAAGCAAGCCGAGCCATGTGCACTTGGCCTCGCGGCATATCCTGGATCTGCTCCCAAACGACATCGTATGCAGCTTCGAGGCCTTTCGGGGCAATCTCGAGATGCTTCGAGATGTTCGATTTGCTCCAAACACTAAGCTTTTTGAGCTGCTGTATTTGCAAAGCAGCCGATTGGAACATCCCTTGGCTCTGCTGCCGGAAGACTTCTTTGATTTCGTTTCGAAGGGTTGGTTCCAAGCCGTCCCACCGCCTGTCTCGAGACAGTCTATCTTGTACAAAAATGGCGGTGTCATCTTCGTTGTCTGTTGTCTGTATCTCAATGACTGGCCGAGATTGAAAATGGCGCCTGATATCGTCGTCCGTCCGGCTCGAAAGCAAGATTCGAATGCTCGAGTTTCCTTCCATGAGCTCATCGAAGACAGTCATCAACTCCTCTCTGCTCTCTCGGTCACACTCATCAAGGGCATCGAGTATGATGGTTGTTCTTGAGTAATCTTGTATGATCTCTTCGATAAGGATTTTGCAAGTGAGAAAGTCGAAAGTCTTGCCCTTGCGTTCAAGCTCGTCTGGAAGCCCTTTCAGACGAGAATGGACCTTGCATTCGTCCGAGATAAGATCTGAGGTGAGCTGGCGAAGTATACTCTGAAGGATGTCGCGAGGGTTTCTTCGATTATCTTCATCCCTTTTGCAGTAGAAATACGCCACTGCTTCATGGGATTCACCATATTCTTTGATGGAATCAATAACAAAGTCGATGACTTTGGAAGTGAGATATGTCTTGCCGGCGCCGGCTAGCATATACAAAGTCAGTATGATTGGCATCCAGAGGCTAAGTAGCGATTGTAATACTTACGAATACCGTACAAGATAATCACAGAGGAACTGCTTCTCATCCAGAGACGAAACTCATCCCTGCCTGTGATCCAGTCACAAGTGCCGGGCGTCCTCCTATGGCTGATGTCGTCATGATGCGTTTGAAAAGGGATGTTCGAAATCCTTCTCAGGGTCAATTGTAGTTCGCTTTCATCCATGTGCACAAGAATCTGGAATATTTGGTCGTTCAGGTGTGCCAAAGACGTTTGATCGTCTCCCAGCAGCCCGAGATATTTTTGCTCCAATTGGTGACTTGAAACCCTCTTGCAGTCATTGCCACAATCAATGACCTTTTTGTGTTGCTCCTCCAAACGCCGCGGGATTTCTCCTGGCTTATCACTGTCGAATACTGCGGCCATCTTCCGCATCGTCTTACTCTTGCTGAAAAAAGAGTGACAAAATTGGAGGGCGCTCAAAAGTCCCGAGTAAAGTTCAACTAGCTCTTGATGCAGGTTGTCAAGTGATTGGATGCCCATGTGCACCTCGTCTTTTGTCTCGTCGAGATGCATGGAGTTCCTCGTGTAAACCAGTTCGAATATGCGGCTGGTGAAGAGTAGACGCGGCATTGATGCGAGGAGTTTCACAAACTTGTCGGAGTGTTCGTGTTCCGCAACCAAATGCTGTCTAGAGTTAGCAGCGATTCAGTGTTGGGCGAAGTATGGATGATGAGGGTGCTCACCTGCAGTACAAATCGGAAAGCAGCCCAAGGCAGCGCAGCGTGCACCGGATCAAACGAGGAGATGACGTCGCCGATGCCTTTGAACTTGTCGATCCATTTGACCATGTTATCGAAAAGCGGCCTCAGCTCCCTCCACCTTGTGTTTTCCAGCTTTCAAGGAGAAGCTATGACGGTTCTTTTCAAGCTCTTTCTGCTTCTGCTGTGCCTGACTGATGAGCTCGTCGATGAATTGGGCGTCTGCAATGCTAGGCTGCGGCTCGGCGCCGGCGTCCAAGCCCGTCAGCCATTCTTGGACGTCATCGGGGAGACGCTCGACGGCTTTCGCCCAGAGGTCAGGATTCTCAGCCATTTATGTCGGCCTCGCAACGAATTTTGCTGGTGATTGCGAAATTTGGAGGGAGGGATGGAGGGTGGACGAGAAGGTGTTCGTCTTCGTGTGAAGGACGCAGGCAGAGCTGCCAACCCCATCCCATTGCCAAGATAATGTGGAAATGGGCGGCATGGCCCAAAGAGAGTGGCTGAGTTCGTGAGACCAACCAACCGCTGAACAGTCTACGAATCATCCCTGGTCAGGATCTCTCGATTATGCCCTGCCGTCATCGACGCGATTTGACTGGCTGTATCTAAGACATGGCAGAGAAGCTTTCCCTCCCACTAGGCTTTCTGCTCCCAGCAGCCTGTAAACGCCCAAGACCTAATGCTGCCCTGGTTGCCTGACAAGGGCTGGAGCCCTCCTGAACCTGCTTACTCTTCTCTTTGGAATGATTCTTCTAGCTAGGTGACCCGTCTAGCTGACTTGACTGGTTAGATTGAGTGGTTAGGCGGGGCATGGGACCATGAAGAGTATGTGAATGCAATGTTACGAGAAATTACAGCCAGAAGGCATGGGAAGAGTCGTGAGATAGTTACTGTAACCACCAAACTTCTCGTAAGTGGGTGGTCGTTGTTTAACTAGTAAATGCAGAAAACGAGAGTGAGGAAACAGAGTTGGCCGGACGAAAAGAATCATAGTACTCCAATCTCTCCATGAAAAGCCCCCTTTCCCCTTCCTTGTTGACAGACCATAGATTAAAGGGTCCGGGGTGGCACCCGGCTTCTGATGGACACAGAACTGGAGCAAATATTAATCGGAATCACTATAAAAATGACTGCTGCGCCCTGGCTTCTATGATACAGTCAACGGATACTATGCCGCCGACAAAGGTAATGGAGCAAGAGAGAGTATCACCAGAAAAAACAAACAAGACAAAAGCAAGATCATGACCCCTCAGAAGGTTACATGCCGATCCCTGGAAAAGCCACCCGTTCCTGAACGCCCTATGCTTGGCCTCTTTTTTTCTTCTCAGCACGTGCCCAACATATCTCTCTGGCATCTCGTCATTGCATGCGGCATTTTGATGCGTCGTTAGGGGACAAGTCACCCTACTCCTTGTCCGCTGGCTTGTCTTCGGGCTTCTCGTCCACATCCATCTTGTCTTCTTCGGGTTCCGGCGCCTTTTCTTCTGGCTTTTCGGTGGTCTCCTTGTCCTTCTCGGCAGACTCCTTCTCCTCGGCAGCCGGCTCTTCCGCAGTAGGTTCCTTGGCTTCGGCCTTCTCTGGCTCTGCGGCTTCGGGCTCTTTACTGGCTTCTTTCTCGGCCTCCTTTGCGGGTTCCTTAGCGGCTTCCGTGGAATCCGCAGCCTCTGCCTTGTCAGTCGTCTCTGTTGCGACAGGCTCAGCTGGCTCGGCAGATGGTTTGCGGGATGCAGGTTTTTCTTCCTTATCCTCCTTTTCGGCCACCTTCGCGGGTTCCGCCTCGGTCTCCTCCTTCTTGATGGTGGTCGTGGGCTCGTCAGCATCGACGCTATCCTCCATGCCAACATCTCCATCGCCGTCGACGATCTCCTTGGGGGCTTCAGGAGCAGCCTCCTTTTCGGCAGCCTTCTCCGATGACTCCTCTGTGTCGACGGGGTTCTCGAGGGTAATATCGGCGTCGACAATCGGCTCAGCATTGGGGGCTTCCTCGTCGGCGGCTCCGTTGACGGGCGACGCAGCGCTGCTGTTGACTTCGGCCTCCTTTTGTTTGAAGTCGCGGAACGTGCGCTTCTTTGCGTTACGAGGGCGCGTGATGCCGTTTGCCTGCTCCATATCTTCGTCGTCGCTGTCTTCGAAGTCGGCCTCGTTGTTCGTGCGCTGTTCCCAGCGGCGTTGCGTCATGCGCTCGTCGGGGTGCTCGTCGTCGTCCAAGTCGTTCAACTCGGCCTCCTCTTCGTCCGTCATGCCACCAGGTAGTGGTTGGCGGGGCACATCTTGCATTTGGACGGAGGGAACGGGTTGTGTGTGTCGCAGGTTGTCGATGACGGCAGCCTTGATCTTTTCGAGGTATTCGAAGCTGTTGGAATTCTCCATGTTGGAGGGTCGGACGTTCAACTCGAAATCGGGAGCATAGTACTAGGAAGAGTTAGCCATGTTACAGCGACTGCATTCCAGAGAACCTACTTCGTAGTATTCATTGTAAGGCAGCGTCCTGGGCAGGTGCTTGCCGACGAGAACACCAGTCTCATATGCCCAAGTACGGGCGACGTTACGCATGGTGTAGCCACCACCGCCAAGAACAAGGGTGGGCAACCCAAAGCTCTTGACGTATCCGACGCAGTTGGCATGGCCCTCCATGCTGAGGTTGAAGCAACCCAATCGGTCTCCACTGAGACTGTCACCTCCGCATTGCAGAACGACAGCCTCGGGCTGGTAGAACTTCATGACGTGTTCGATAACGGGTTCGAAAATAGACTTGTACGAGTTGTCGTCGATACCATCGCGGAGGGGGAAGTTGACGGCGTAGTACTTGCCGGTACCGATGCCGATGTCGCGCAGCTCACCAGTACCAGGGAAGTATTCGCCGTACTTGTGGAAGGAGACGGTCATGACACGGTCGGTCGTATAGAAGGCCTCCTCGACACCATCTCCGTGGTGGACGTCAATATCGATGTAGAGGACGCGCTTCTTGAATCGAAGGAGTTCGAGGATACCGAGGACAATGTCTGTAGGCTATTAGCTGGCGCGCGTCGCGGGCATGATAGAGTGGTCTTGTGTACCGTTGACGTAGCAGAAACCACTGGCTTCGCTCTTCTTGGCGTGGTGGAGGCCACCAGCCCAGTTGACGGCGATGTCGCACTTTTGGCGGTTGAGGCGGGCGGCGCCCTCCATGCTGCCACCGGCGCTGATGCCACAGAATTCGAAGAGGCCGTCAAAGACGGGACAGTCGTCTCCGACGTTGTATTTGCCTTGCTCCTTCTGATAGGCGTCCATGTTGTCGGGTGTGACCTTTTGCAGGAAGTCGATGTATTCGTCCGTGTGGAATTGGGTCATTTCACCCCTAGTCGCAGGCTTTGCGCGCTACAAATGACAAGTTAGCAGCAATCGCGTCGCTTTCGCAGGCGCTTGACGTACGTAGATCTCCATGTTCTTGAACAGGTCGTAGTGCATGATCAGACTGTGGGCAAGGCGAATACGGTGCGGCTTCATGGGGTGACCGGTAACGTAGGCATAGTTGCCAATGTCGGAGTCGTAGAAATATGCGACCTTCTTTGGGGACGACGAAGACCCATTGGCCAGGGCCACCGATCCGAGAGGTGACATGGCGTCGGTCGTTGGGGATATTCTGTGGTTGTGTAGTATATTCGATCGATCGTGATGATTGGAATTTGGTGGTGGAGTGGTGGTGGAGGGAAGGATGGGAAAGGCGAGCGAAGGCTGCGCGTGGGCGTGGAAGCTCTGATCGGCAAGGCTGGGTGCACCGAAAAAGTCAGGCCAATGGGCGCCACGGATGACAGGCCAGGGGTGTAGGCTGTTGGAGGAGCTTTTCGTCCAATGAGGTAATTGGACCACAGCGAGGTGAGGGACGGCAGATGAGATATTCCGACCAACAGTGTTGTTTGATTCGTCAGCAGCAACTGGGAGGTGCCAGCCGAAATCGCCCAATCAGGATCGCCGGTGTGGAGGCGGCAAGGAGCTGATGATGGAGGGGCTGAAAGGGACTCAGGTACGTTACCGGCAGAGCAGGAAACATATCAGGCACTCTGTTCATTTTCATAAAAGTAGAAGAAAAAAATGCTCGCATTATTTACGTCGTTGAAATTTCTTATTCAAACATGAGATTTGTTTTGAACTTGCTATGATTATTATTTCTAGGGGAAGCATGGCTCCGGATGAAGTAGGCGGTGTGGCTAAGGCCTGGTGCATGTTCGAATGCAGCCCACCTGTGGCTTTGCGAAGGTGATAAGCCACAACCCCTCGCTCTTCGTACTTCGACATGATCACTTAATAATCGATCCACGACGCGCAACAAGCTCAAAATAATACCTGAAGTCAAATTACCCAATCGACAATTTACATCATCCAGCAATAATGGTTATTTCAACGTGAACAGTTGATCAAGAAAATCAAGCGCCTCAGCCACACGTGACTGTTTGTCAGCTGTGCGGTACGTACCGGACCGGGCTAGCTCCGCCGGGTCCTTTTTCGCCAGGCTGCTCAGAGCTGTCGTCAACAACACACGAGCCAGCTGCTTCCATCCAACTCCATCACCTCAACCGCCTCCCTCCGCAGCCTCTACGAACGAACACCGCCCAACCCGCGACACCCCCAATCCGAATTTTCCACCAAACCCCTTTATCATACCCAGATCATCACAATGGAGCGCTTCCGCAACATGCTCCAGTCCCAAGGCCTCGGTGGCCTGGGCAGTCAGCCCGGAACGGTAAGAGCATCCCACCTTCTGAAGCTACCAGGATAGCTCCGACGACAGCATCGCCCTCGACCACGTGCTGACTTTTGAACGCAGGACAACACACAGCTCATCGATAACTCTGAGACCGTCTACATCTCTTCCCTCGCCCTCCTCAAGATGCTGCGACACGGCCGCGCTGGTGTTCCCATGGAAGTCATGGGTCTGATGCTGGGAGAGTTCGTCGACGACTTCACGGTGCGCGTGGTGGATGTCTTTGCCATGCCTCAGAGCGGTACCGGTGTTAGTGTAGAGGCGGTCGACCCTGTCTTCCAAATGAAGATGATGGACATGTTGAGACAAACCGGAAGGTAGGAATGCACCTCGACGCGACCCCGAAGCCATTACTGACTAGCAATCGACAGACCCGAAGCCGTCGTCGGCTGGTACCACTCCCATCCGGGTTTCGGATGCTGGCTTTCCTCCGTCGATATCAACACGCAGCAGTCTTTCGAGCAGCTGACCCCTCGCGCCGTCGCCGTCGTCGTCGACCCCATCCAATCCGTCAAGGGCAAGGTCGTCATTGACGCCTTCCGCCTCATCAACCCCCAGTCGCTCATGCTTGGTCAAGAGCCTCGTCAGAGCACAAGTAACTTGGGACACCTCAACAAGCCCTCAATTCAGGCTCTGATTCACGGCCTTAACCGACACTACTACTCGATCGGCATCAACTACCGGAAGACGGCGCTGGAGGAGAACATGTTGATGAACCTGCACAAGCACGTTTGGACCGAGGCGTTGGAGATGAACGACTTCAGGGCCGAGGCCGACTGCAACAAGGAGCGTCTGGAGCGTCTCGTCAGTCTGGCCGAGGGCTACGAGAAGCGCGTCAAGGAGGAGACGGAGCTCACCAAGGATCAGCTCAAGACCCGCTACGTCGGCAAGCTCGACCCCAAGAAGCATTTGGAAGACGTCGGCCAGCAGTTGATCGAGGACAACATCGTTTCCGTGTCGAGACAGATGATCGACAAGGAGGCGACGATGCCCAAAAAGGACGGTGCCAAGGGCCAATCAAACGGCGATTCGATGGACGTGGAGGAGGAGTTGTGAGTGGAAACGGGCCACAATTCGGGGGCGGTCCAGAGGCGGGATACCAGGACTTTACCGGAACTGTACGATTAGGCGTTTGGGTGGTTGGGAACGCAACGACTAGAGGCCCCGCCAGGCATAAGACGAACGATTTTACAAACCAATTGCATCGGATTGAAGGATAACCACCGTGGTCGAGATGATTATGAACGGTTCTTTGTTCATCACGAGTTCCAGTTCTGATATTCTCCGCTCTTCTCTCATGACTGACAATGGTCCAGAACAACGTAGAAGCGCTACTATTACTCCATTGTCCATAGACAGCGACAATGCTCAGACACTCTGTCAGTGGACGTGTATCTCTCAAGCTTTTACTTATATCGTGTACAGCACCAACTTGAATATGACAGAGACCAAATCGAATCGCGAAAAACGTCATTGCAATCTTCGGCAACAAGCACTTTGTCAAACACCCCTTCTCCGGAATCCCTCAGACGTCCACGGGATGCGACGTCGCCATCGTTCGAATACTCTCAGCCGTCTGTTTTGTCTCCCCCGTCTTCGGCGACCCAGCCAGGTCAGCGAAGATCATTCCACCAGATCTGCTACACAGTCTCCAGGCAACGACCGCGTGAAAACCTCGAATATCTCTCGCGCTGAGAAGATTAAAGCTTTCAGCCTTCTTCCGATTCCTCCATATTGGCGATACAAACGGCGCCCTCCCCTACCCTCACCCAAGTCTGACTACAGCTACCAAGCCTTCCTACTAGAGACCTCCGCAACCATGCAATATGCTCCATCTATCGCAGACAGTCAGTACACCGATGTCTCTCTCCCTCCATCACCGCCTCTTCGCATGTCCAGATCAACCTTGTTCGAAGTACTCCACCGTATCGGGCACGCCTTCTCCCATGTGCAGTACGCCGTCTGCGGCACGGCCGCCATGGTGGCTTTCGGCTTTGACAAGCGCAAGCCGACGCACGTTAGTATCGTCTGCCCGTCCCACACTAGAGACGTGCTGGCTTCATGGGCCGTGGCCGGCGGCATGATGCTATACCCATCCAAGCCCAACGAAATCGGCGTGCCTGTTGACGGAGACACGTGGATGATCCAGGTCAAGTACCTCGAGACGGACGATAATCACAGGTTCGAGCGGCTGAACGCTTGTCACTTCAACTTTGGGGGTGACGAGGTTACCACGGCGGTCTTGACTCCGGCAGCTCAACTCGAGCAGATTGCCCAGGTGTACATTGACCCGCGGTACAACCAGAGCTGGCGGTACAAGGAGAGGTTAGGAGGCGATGCCATCTGGCTGTTGGAACAGATGTGTAAGGAGGACGTGCACAAGGTTGGGATGATTTTGAGGAATGCGAACATCCCGACGATTAGGGACCAGAGGTTTTGGCTTGTTTTCACGACGGCGCATCCCGAGGCTGTTGGATTGTTCTACGATGCTGGGTTGAGGGATGAAGAGGAACAGGTGAGTCTCAGCGAACGGGGCAACCGAAAGGAGTATGAGCATCAGCATGAGCAAGACCATGCACATACGCAAGAGTATAAACAAGGCCATGCGCACACGCAGGAGTACGAGCAGTATGAGCAGGAGTACGCGCACGAGTATGAGCAGGAGTATGAGCGGGAGATTGAGCAAGAGTATGAGCAGGAGCAGGTACGAGTCGAATCGCCTGTGTCGCCGCATGATCCACCTCCAGAGCAACCCCGACGCAGAGATGAGAGCGGGCGTTCGAGACGCAGATCATCTCGGGTCCGTTCCCGCTCCCGCACTCGCACCGACCAGGGGCCTCGCCGCCGGCGACGGCCTTCTGAATATGGGCCGATCTTAACTCGGGCAGAAGAAAGGCGGGTTGCCATGGACAGAGCACGGGCTCGGGGCCAGGTCAGACGTCGCAGCTCGCAAGAGACGACCAAGTTTTCTTTAAGTGGTGCTCTTGATAGCTTGCTCGGTGGTGGCCATCGGGATGGGTACAGAAGATGATCGCTTGGTAAGTTCACCTTTCGACTTGTTGGAAGATGTGCAATTGGGAAATGTTTTTGACTCAAGTTGTCTGATTGTTTTACCTCTGGCTGAGGTTCCGCTGTGTAAATGATTCTACAAAGGAGATGATTCCGAATCCCCTTTCTATGGTGTATGCCCGCCTTTGATCATCCTGTTCCCGTGTATGATCCCCTTTCAGAAAACCCGCTTCGCTGGTATAACAAATGAAACAATCCCTTCCAGTACCCGCCGCCCTGAATCCCCGCGAATTGCTCCGCACATGTTCGTCGTCATCCATCCCGTCTATTACTCCATTACTGTCTTCCGTATCCGTGCTGGGTGTACTGCTGTCCGTATGTCTGCTGAGGGTATGCCGGCTGGTACGCCTGCTGCTGCGCATACTGCTGCTGCTGTTGCTGGTGGGTGTATCCCTGGGTCTGCTGTACGTACGCCGCGGTCGCGTACCTCTGCTCCTCGCCGTTCTTCCTCTGCTCGCGGCGCACCTCCTGGATCTGCACGCTCTCGACGCTCTGGTCCTCGCAGCGGCTCTCGAGGGGCGCGGCGTCGTGGCCCATGGCGCCGCGGCGGACGCCGTTCTTCTTGAAGTAGCGGAAGTCGAGCCAGGCGATGATGGTGGCGTAGCCGGCGACCATGGAGAGCAGGATGCCGAGGACGACGACGACCCAGCCGATGGTGCAGGAGGTGCCGATGCAGGACTGCTGGGTCTGCGACTGGATGCCCATGTAGACGACGGCGGCCCAGAAGACGATCTCCATGGCGTTGAGGATGAGGTTGGCCTTGAGCGAGGCCCAGCGGTGCAAGGCGGGGACGTGTTCGGTGAGAACTTGGTAGAGGATGATGGCGAGGGACTTTGCGGACTGTGGGGAGGGAGAGAGTGTTAGTTGAGATGTTGGTTTGGGGGTGAGCATAGTGGTAGGAGGAGGCTTACCATGCCCAGTGCCATTGTGCCTGATCTACCCCTGGGACGGTTCGGCATGAAGATGCGTGCTACTGAGAGACCGAGGGCCGCTGCTACAAGGAGGAGCTGGACCATGTGGATGGGGAACTTGAGTTTGCTGGAGAAGAGGGCGTTCATCTTGGCGGTGTTGGTGTTGGTGATGTTCGAAACGGGGTCGGAGTGGGTATCTTATTGGTGTTGAAGGTATCCAAGATCGGTGATGTTCGGATATTTGACTCTTGCAAGGCAGATGGTAAAATTGGAAGATTTATGAATTGGAAATCTTGAGCCTTGAGTCTTGTAGGCTGGGTTGAGTTGTCTTGTCTTGAGTGTCTTGGTGTTCCTCCAAAAACATCAACACATCGCCGGGTCTCACGGCCGCCTATATACCAAGACGAAATCCGCATTGCATCTTTTCCACGTATTCGGTAGAGTTTGATACCTCAATTCCCATAACACCGGGCCTTTTCGCTCGTCAATCTCCAGGGAACAAGCACAGCCATCAGCCGCAGCCTCTTTTTTCGGCGGGTTTGCGGGCTGGCTGGAACGGATCTTCTCGCGCACCATTTGCAGTGGTTCTGTTTCGGTCTCGGTTTTTAGGGGCCGGGTTGGGCAACTGTGGTTATCTTACGCAGTAATATAAACAAGGCCAGACACTCACTGCGTTGGCGCTAATACTGGATAACGTGCTTCTTCTTCTCCCTGGCCCTGCACAAAGTGGGAACACAGCCCCAAAAATGGTCTCTTCGGTCTCGGTTTCCCACGCATAAGCCACCGGCCGAAGTGGTAGTACTAACATCTAAGCATACGCGTATCCACCGAATAGAGTTAACCCATGGATGGTCTTCCCCCCCTACTGACGGATCTGCCCTCTCTTCGACTCATTCTTCGAATGCTGAGATTTTTTTCTTCTCATGTCTGACGGGATCCATAATTTCCCGCCCTGTCCGTCTGTCAAAACTTCACTGCCGCCTGCCAAGACGAGGTGACACGTCTGCAGCGCCATCAAGGCTGGGCCCAGGCTTCTGGAACGACCGCACACTCTCACACCCGCACCCCTGACGGGCCCCGTTTTCTGGGCTCTGGTGGGCAGCAGATTGGCGCGGAGTATCATTTGGGACGATCTGGCGGGCCTGGTTGAGTCTGCCTCTGCATGGGATGGAAATGCGCCTTGCGCTCAGGTGTGGGGGGAACATGAGATTTCTGGTATTAGAGAAAGCGAGGTGCATGGGGGCTGGGCGCTAACAGATGAGTCTGAGGCTCGGTTTCGATGTTGATTGCCAGGAGATTATTGATAATCAGAAAAAAGGCTCTCTGTTGCAGGATCCGGTTTTTTAAGAAATTTTCTCCCGGATGATGTTGGCTTTGCCACGACGGACGGCCCCTATGTCTTCCTTTTCACTCCGAACCCTGTTGTTCATGAATGCGGTTGGCTCACATACGAGAGCACGTCAGATTTTAGGTTGTCAAGAACCAGGACTTTTTCTTGTTATCTATTCGACTTTCAATAATTCATACTTCATACTTTCAGCCCGTTGGAAGTTTCTCGGTTGGCGTGGTTGATGACCTTCCCTCTTGGTTGATGGTGTTCTGCGTTGTCAAGGACCTGCAGTGCCGTTTTCCGGGTTATCCACAAGATTTCCATACGACCCCAGATGTTCGTTAGGCAGGGAAGATGCTTATTTGTAAGTTTAATGTTGCCAGCTGACTTTGAGGGTTCGTTACGCCGAGTAGAGGTTGCTGACCGGCAGTTCGGATGTTCGGATCAGGTATCGCAAGTTCGGGGTTCCGAATCGTGAGTCCAATGCTCCCAACAGCATCGACGGCCAGCTAGCAGCGAAGACTTTAGGCTGAAGTTTTCCACTCGAGTACGATCCAATGAGATCCAGTTCTTCGTTCGAACCGGTAACGATATTCGCTTGCGTCCAGCCTTTTGAGTCTCAACGTTTTCACTAGCGTGAGGTTATCATAACCATGCTGGCTGTTTCGTTCGTTTTCATATCCTTCACCGATTTTCTGCTAGACTTTAACAGTATCGGAAGCAAATTTGCCCATTGGATTTCCTTCCCAAATGCGAGTTTGGTCATGGACAACTGACGTCTCTCGTCAGTCTTCTTGTAGCACCATCAAAGGTTTTGTCCAACACTTGTGCTAATGTCTCAACAGACCAGTAGCCTGACCTCGCCAACATGTTTTTTCGTAGTGGCCACCTGGAAGCACCGTCCAAATCCCGCATACGAGATACTCCCAGAACTGCTCTCTGGACGCAATAGATGCTCACATGGCAGGTTTAATCCAGGAAGTTGACGGTTTGGGAGACTCTACTCCCCACGATAAAATCCGAACGGTAGGCAGGCAAACACCATTCATGTCGGGCCATCCTCTTTGTCTTTCGGGCTCACGTCTGTCGAGTCGCCTGCTTTCGGCTCACCCGACGACTCCCAAACGACAGCCCCAAAATAATCACCCTGGCTCTGCCGGTTGCCTCTGTCCGTATGCCGCCTCGGTGGCGGCTTCAGTGGCGTGGGCAGCTCCGGCTCGTGCCCCGGCGCCTCGAGCATGAGAAACTCGACGCCGTCATCCGTATCGACCCTCGTCAATGGTAAAGTCATCGACATGGCTGCCTTCAGCTCCTCTCGCGTCTTGAACGTGTCCCGGGTCCTTAGTTCCGTCCGCGCTTCGTGGGCTTCGTCGATATGTATCGCAGGTGGTATCGTCACCCCAGACAAGCTCCTGGCATACTCGTCCACGACTCTAGGACTCTCCACATCCTCGATCTCGTGCTGCGATGTGTGAGAAACAGGTCGTGATCGCCTCTTCTGCGAAGTGGTGGCGCCATCAGATTGTGTGTACAATTCCGTGTCTGCACTGTCTTCAAGATTCCTTTGCACGTAAGTCCGCTTAATTACTGGACTCAGACTCTGGGTGCCCAGCAACGGTCGCAGGGTCGGTATGCAGACGCAGATGATAGCACAGCATAGTTCTGTTATCGACCAGATGCCGGCGACGACAGTATTGTATGTCGGGTCAGTCGATGTCGCCGACGACCTGAGTGTTGTAAGTCGTATAAAGGATATCGCACACGTGCTGTCACAATCGTTAGCCAAGCCCCGAATCACGTCGCCAACCAAACGTACAAGAAGCCGAGACCAAAAGTCGCCATGAGAACGATCTTCTGTCTCAATGGCACAGCGAGCGTCCTCAGGAGAGGAACGGGCATAACGAATATGATGATATCTGTAATGAGGTTTATCGCCGATCCAGCATACCACCAGTCTAGCAATTTGAAGCATTTGCCCTTGACCGAGAAATCCCACAGGGCTCGTAATGGAACGCAGGCGAAGCAGAGCGACACCACCTGCGTGAACCCGAAGGTCATTATGAATATTAAGAATATGTTGCAAAGCTTTTGAAATGGCGGCAGCGGAAAGACTCGTCGGTACTGGAGGAGAAACGTGGATTTGATGAGGGGCATTGCCTGAATAGTGTTTAGTGATCGTTCTTCTCCCAGGATGGTTCTTGTCCATCGGAAGCTCTGGTTATGCAACTTACCGCTTGGTATACGGCAACAGCAGCGATGGCAATCTCTTGCGTTTTCAGGTAGTTTTCGCGCGTGAGGTTAGCCTTATGGAGGCCATCTCCGTAATCTGTGTTGATAAGCATCAACAGGCCGGTAAGGAAAACAAGGACCTGCCAGTCCCGTCAGCATCGTCGCTCCAACCCAAATCGCACAAAGTACGTACGTATGAGAAAATAAGGGCAGTGTCATCAGGTCCCCAT